CTCGCGTTGATGAGGAGGTGGTTCATCTCCTTGGTCTTCCCCGCGTTGATGAGGAGGTGGTTCATCTCCTTGGTCTTCCTCACGTTGATGAGGAGGTGGTTCATCTCCTTGGTCTACCCTGCGTTGATGAGGAGGTGGTTCATCTCCTTGGTCTTCCTCACGTTGATGAGGAGGTGGTTCATCTCCTTGGTCTTCCTCACGTTGATGAGGAGGTGGTTCATCTCCTTGGTCTTCGTCGCGTTGATGAGGAGGTGGTTCATCTCCTTGGTCTTCCTCACGTTGATGAGGAGGTGGTTCATCTCCTTGGTCTTCCCCGCGTTGATGAGGAAGTGGTTCATCTCCTTGGTCTTCCCCGCGTTGATGAGGAGGTGGTTCATCTCCTTGGTCTTCCTCACGTTGATGAGGAGGGGGTTCATCTCCTTAGTCTTCCCTGCGTTGATGAGGAGGTGGTTCATCTCCTTGGTCTTCCCTGCGTTGATGAGGAGGTGGTTCATCTCCTTGGTCTTCCCCGCGTTGATGAGGAGGTGGTTCATCTCCTTGGTCTTCCTCACGTTGATGAGGAGGTGGTTCATCTCCTTGGTCTTCCCCGCGTTGATGAGGAAGTGGTTCATCTCCTTGGTCTTCCCCGCGTTGATGAGGAGGTGGTTCATCTCCTTGGTCTTCCTCACGTTGATGAGGAGGGGGTTCATCTCCTTCGTCTTCCCTGCGTTGATGAGGAGGTGGTTCATCTCCTTGGTCTTCCCTGCGTTGATGAGGAGGTGGTTCATCTCCTTGGTCTTCCCCGCGTTGATGAGGAGGTGGTTCATCTCCTTGGTCTTCCTCACGTTGATGAGGAGGTGGTTCATCTCCTTGGTCTTCCCCGCGTTGATGAGGAGGTGGTTCATCTCCTTGGTCTTCCCTGCGTTGATGAGGAGGTGGTTCATCTCCTTGGTCTTCCCCGCGTTGATGAGGAGGTGGTTCATCTCCTTGGTCTTCCTCGTGTTGATGAGGAGGTGGTTCATCTCCTTGGTCTTCCCTGCGTTGATGAGGAGGTGGTTCATCTCCTTGGTCTTCCTCACGTTGATGAGGAGGGGGTTCATCTCCTTGGTCTTCCCTGCGTTGATGAGGAGGTGGTTCATCTCCTTGGTCTTCCCTGCGTTGATGAGGAGGTGGTTCATCTCCTTGGTCTTCCCTGCGTTGATGAGGAGGTGGTTCATCTCCTTGGTCTTCCTCACGTTGATGAGGAGGGGGGTTCATCTCCTTGGTCTTCCCTGCGTTGATGAGGAGGTGGTTCATCTCCTTGGTCTTCCTCGCGTTGATGAGGAGGTGGTTCATCTCCTTGGTCTTCCTCACGTTGATGAGGAGGTGGTTCATCTCCTTGGTCTTCCTCGCGTTGATGAGGAGGTGGTTCATCTCCGTGGTCTTCCCTGCGTTGATGAGGAGGTGGTTCATCTCCTTGGTCTTCCCTGCGTTGATGAGGAGGTGGTTCATCTCCTTGGTCTTCCCTGCGTTGATGAGGAGGTGGTTCATCTCCGTGGTCTTCCCCGCGTTGATGAGGAGGTGGTTCATCTCCTTGGTCTTCCCCGCGTTGATGAGGAGGTGGTTCATCTCCTTGGTCTTCCTCACGTTGATGAGGAGGTGGTTCCGCTGACATCAGTCCACAAAGTCCTGTATAACTCCTCTGTACTCTGTGTCATCGTCCTCGGAGCTGAGTCCGATGATGGCAGAGTCGTCAGAGGACTTCTGTAGAACACAACCGTCCGTGTTGTGTCTGAAGTCCGCAGTGTAGAGGGTGAAGAGGAACGGCGCGAGGACAGTTCCCTGGGGGGCCCCCACACTGCAGGTCAGGACCTCCGACACAAAGTCCCTGGTTCTCACAAACTGGGGTCTGTCTGTGAGGTAGTCCAGGATCCACTGGGACAGGTCATAGTCCACTCCAGCTGTCTCCATCTTGTCCCTGAGAAGCCTCGGCTGGATGGTGTTGAAGGCACTGGAGAAATCAAAGAAGAGGATCCTCACAGTGGAGCCGGGTTTCTCCAGGTGGGACAGGGAGCGATGGAGGAGGGAGATGATGGCGTCCTCGACTCCGATGCCCGGCCTGTAGGCGAACTGCAGCGGGTCCATCGCTGGGCTCAGAGTGGAACGGAGATGTCCCAGGACCAGTCTCTCCAGTGTCTTCATGCAGTGGGATGTTAGAGCCACTGGCCTGAAGTCGCTGAGGTCTTTGGCCCGTGGTTTCTTGGGCACCGGTACCACACAGGAGGTCCTTCCAGAGCTGTGGTACCGCCCTCAGCTTGAGGCTCAGGTTGAAGACGCGCTCCATCACTCCACAGAGTTCGTCTGCACAGGAGCGAAGGAGCCTGGAGCTGATGTTATCTGGTCCTGGTGCCTTTCTGGTCTTTATCCTCTGCATCTCTGTCCTCACCTGTGCAGCGGTGACTGACATCTTCCTCCTGTAGATGTTTTTAGCTGCGCGTATATTCCACCTCAATATCCTTTGCACGGATTTAATGGCTTCCTTTTCCCCTGACTTAAAAGCCCGCTTTTTGTCCTTAAGCAGAGCTTTGATGTCAGGGTTGATCCACAACTTATTGTTTGGGAAACACCGTACAGTGCGGGCAGGTACGGTGTTCTCAAAGCAAGAGTTAATGTAGTCCGTGATACACTCTGTCATGGCATTAATGTCCTCCCCGTGTGGGTCACAGAGCTCGTTCCACAGCGTTGTGTCGAAACAGTCTCTGAGGGCCTCCTCTGTGTCCACGTTCCACAGCTTCACCACACGTGAGACAGCAAGATGCCTACGCACAACCGGCTCATAAATGGGCCGTAGATGGACAATGTTGTGGTCGGCTCTGCCCAGGGGGGGAAGGGCAGACGCGGTGTAGGCATCCTTCACATTAACAAAGAATAAATCCAATGTCTTACTGCCTCGTGTGGGAAAGGTGATGTATTGGGTGAAGGATGGGAGAGTAGAGGCTGGAGAGGCGTGATTATAATCCCCTGTGATGATAAACAGGGCCTGGGGGTGCTGTGTTTGTAGACTGCTCATGGTGGAAAAGAGGCTCTCACATGCATTGTCAGCTTTGGCCGAAGGGGGTATATACACTGCTGTAACAATAACGTGACTATACTCCCGTGGCAGATAGTATGGACGCATGCCAATAACCAAAAGCTCAATGTCTATGCAACAAACCTGCTTCTTTACTGTGCAGTGTTCTGGCTTGCAGTAGTCCGTATTCACAAACACAGCCAGACCCCCGCCTCTCCTCTTCCCACTCGCGGCTGTCCGGTCAGCCCGGATCATGTGAGATCCATCTATGTCCACAGTAGAGTCCGGATTATCAGAGTTCAGCCATGTCTCCGTGTAGATCTGGAGGCTGCAGTGTTTATATTCCCTCTGATAACGCGTCAGGCTGGCCAGCTCGTCTGCCTTGTTGGTCATCGAGCGCACGTTCCCGGTGGTCACGGAGGGCAGAGCGGGTCTGGATCCTCGCCTTCTCCCTCGTACTTTCTGCCCAGCGCGGCGGCTCCTGCGCGTCTTAAGCAGCAGCTCGTCCGGGATGTTGTGTCTGTCCTCCGGGAGCACTACGCCAGTGTTTTTCAACCTTTTTTGAGCCAAGGCACACTTTTTTCACTGAAAAAATCTTGCGGCACACATCCAGGAGAAAATGTAAAAATTTATACAGTACTAATGTAAAAAAATATATACTGTACATACTCTGTGTGATATATAAAGTATATCTTATCTTATAATGTATACAGTATACTCTGTAGCCTATATTCACAATATACAGTTATTCTCATCAAAATGCTTAAGTCCAGGCCTTGACATTAAGCTTTATTTAATATTTCTCGATACAATTAACAAGAGTTTGGGAATAAAGTGGCACTAACTGTGTGGAAAAAAACTAAGAAAATCCACTCTCTGCCCATAGTCAAATAATAACTCACACAAAGAACATGCATTGTTAGTGCATGGGAAACATTTAGGTATCCGAGCTTTAAATTCAGGAGTTTTGGATGAGGGACACGGGAGGTCCTGAACGCGAGTCCATGGTTCTGTCCGGTCCGCATGTCTGTGGTTCTGTCCACTCGACTATGGTTTGCGCTCGGTACCCAGTTCAGAAGTGCGTTCGCGAGAGCTGTTGTACAAAAATTGTACATTTCATAGTTAAACCACTACAACGCGGCCACAGCTGCCCCGGGGCAGAGCGGAGGATGTTAATCCTGTTCAGAAACGGCATAATTCATTTTCAAAAACGTCTCTATCACTTTCACTTCTCACTCGCCACAAAGCTCTTGTCTCGCTCCCTCCCACATTTGTTGGTCGCATCCAATTTTACCTTTCTCGCCACAATGCTGACCTGTTACAGCCAGTGGTCGCATCCAATTTTTCAGTTTCAAAGTACTTAGCTATCTGCTGCCATCTACTGATTTGAAAAAGTATTACATGGTTACTCACAGTTCAAAACAAGTCACCGCTCGTCAACAGCGAATGCAGCTATTTTTAGACAAAGTAGACGAATTTCCCACGGCACACCAGACAATATCATACGGCACACTAGTGTGCCGCGGCACAGTGGTTGAAAAACACTGCACTACGCGGCCTCGCAGCGCTAGTAAGCTCTCCCTGGAGTACGAGACAATGGGCACTCGGGGCACACTCGGGGCACACTCGGGCAGCACAGACACATAGTGTCCAATCCAGTCCCAAAAACACGGAGAAAGTTGGGACTGTGCATTAGCCTCATGTAGCTATGTGTTCAAAAATATTTACAAAATCTAGCGTAAAAAGTGAAAAAGGAGCGAAAAGACTTACAGGGACCTACACTCACACACAAACGCTCACACACACAGACCTACACAGACCTACACAGACCTACACACACACAAACACACACCTACACAGACCTACACACACACACACACACACACACACCTACACACAACTACAGAGACCTACACACACGCACACTTACACACACACCTACAAAGACCTACACACAGACCAACATACAGACCTCCAAGCTGAGCTTTCAGCCTGGCCACCTCCTGCTCCTGGTTCTCCTGTTCCTGCAGAGAGGAGGTGAGTCTCCTCTGAAGATCTGAGGACTTCTGCTGAAGGAGAGACATCTCCAGCTGCAGCTGAGACACGCGAGACGTCGACAACGCCAGGTCCTCTGTCAGGCGGACCTGAGGTACAAGGACACAGGTTAGAGACCCTGACCATGAGAGACAGGTGAGACAGGTGACAGAGGTGAGAGCGGTGAGACAGGTGAGAGCGGTGAGACAGGTGAGAGCAGTGAGACAGGTGAGAGCAGTGAGACAGGTGAGAGAGGTGAGACAGGGGAGAGAGGTGAGACAGGAGAGAGCAGTGAGACAGGTGAGAGCGGTGAGACAGGTGAGGAAGGTGAGAGCGGTGAGACATGTGAGATCGGTGAGACAGGTGAGAGAGGTGAGACAGGGGAGAGAGGTGAGACAGGAGAGAGCAGTGAGGTGAGACAGGAGAGAGCAGTGAGACAGGTGAGAGCAGTGAGACAGGTGAGACAGGAGAGAGCGGTGAGACAGAAGAGACAGGTGAGACAGGTGAGAGCGGTGAGACAGGAGAGAGCTGTGACACAAGTGAGAGCAGTGAGACAGGTGAGAGCAGTGAGACAGGTGAGAGCAGTGAGACAGGTGAGAGCGGTGAGAGTGGTGAGACAGGTGAGAGAGGTGAGACAGGTGAGAGCGGTGAGACAGAAGAGACAGGTGAGACAAGTGAGAGCGGTGAGACAGGTGAGAGCGGTGAGACAGGTGAGGAAGGTGAGAGCGGTGAGACATGTGAGATCGGTGAGACAGGTGAGAGCAGTGAGACAGGTGAGAGAGGTGAGACAGGGGAGAGAGGTGAGACAGGAGAGATCAGTGAGACAGGTGAGAGCAGTGAGACAGGAGAGAGCGGTGAGACAGAAGAGACAGGTGAGAGCGGTGAGACAGGAGAGAGCGGTGACACAAGTGAGAGCAGTGAGACAGGTGAGAGCGGTGAGACAGGTGAGAGCAGTGAGACAGGTGAGAGCGATGAGACAGGTGAGAGCGGTGAGACAGGAGAGAGCGGTGAGACAGGTGAGACAGGAGAGAGCGGTGAGACAGAAGAGACAGGTGAGAGAGGTGAGACAGAGGAGAGGTGGACAATGCCAGGTCCTCTGTCAGGCGGACCTGAGATACAAGGACACGGGTTAGAGACCCTGACCATGAGAGACAGGTGAGACAGGTGAGAGAGGTGAGACAGGTGACAGAGGTGAGAGCGGTGAGACAGGTGAGAGCAGTGAGACAGGTGAGAGCGGTGAGACAGGTGAGGAAGGTGAGAGCGGTGAGACATGTGAGATTGGTGAGACAGGTGAGAGCAGTGAGACAGGTGAGAGAGGTGAGACAGGGGAGAGAGGTGAGACAGGGGAGAGAGGTGAGACAGGAGAGAGCAGTGAGACAGGTGAGAGCAGTGAGACAGGTGAGACAGGAGAGAGCGGTGAGACAGAAGAGACAGGTGAGAGCGGTGAGACAGGAGAGAGCGGTGACACAAGTGAGAGCAGTGAGACAGGTGAGAGCGGTGAGACAGGTGAGAGCAGTGAGACAGGTGAGAGCGGTGAGACAGGAGAGAGCGGTGAGACAGGTGAGACAGGAGAGAGCGGTGAGACAGAAGAGACAGGTGAGAGCGGTGAGACAGGTGAGAGAGGTGAGACAGAGGAGAGGTGGACAATGCCAGGTCCTCTGTCAGGCGGACCTGAGGTACAAGGACACGGGTTAGAGACCCTGACCATGAGAGACAGGTGAGACAGGTGAGAGAGGTGAGACAGGTGACAGAGGTGAGAGCGGTGAGACAGGTGAGAGCGGTGAGACAGGTGAGAGCAGTGAGACAGGTGAGAGCGGTGAGACATGTGAGATCGGTGAGACAGGTGAGAGCAGTGAGACAGGTGAGAGAGGTGAGACAGGGGAGAGAGGTGAGACAGGAGAGAGCAGTGAGACAGGTGAGAGCAGTGAGACAGGTGAGACAGGAGAGAGCGGTGAGACAGAAGAGACAGGTGAGACAGGTGAGAGCGGTGAGACAGGAGAGAGCGGTGACACAAGTGAGAGCAGTGAGACAGGTGAGAGCAGTGAGACAGGTGAGAGCGGTGAGACACGTGAGAGTGGTGAGACAGGTGAGAGAGGTGAGACAGGTGAGAGCGGTGAGACAGAAGAGACAGGTGAGACAAGTGAGAGCGGTGAGACAGGTGAGAGCAGTGAGACAGGTGAGGAAGGTGAGAGCGGTGAGACATGTGAGATCGGTGAGACAGGTGAGAGCAGTGAGACAGGTGAGAGAGGTGAGACAGGGGAGAGAGGTGAGACAGGAGAGAGCAGTGAGACAGGTGAGACAGGAGAGAGCGGTGAGACAGAAGAGACAGGTGAGAGCGGTGAGACAGAAGAGACAGGTGAGGCAGGTGAGAGCGGTGAGACAGAAGAGACAGGTGAGGCAGGTGAGAGCGGTGAGACAGGTGAGAGCGGTGAGACTGGTGAGAGAGGTGAGACAGGTGAGAGCGGTGAGACAGAAGAGACAGGTGAGACAAGTGAGAGCGGTGAGACAGGTGAGACAGAAGAAACATGTGAGAGCGGTGAGACAGAAGAAACACGTGAGACAGAAGAGAGGTGACACATGTGAGAGCGGTGAGACAGAAAAGACAGGTGGGACAGGTGAGACACGGGCCCTGGAGTCAGGTACCAGAGTGGATCACAGACACATGTTCAAATGAAATGGGTCAGTGTGTTTAAAAGCAGGGGTCAGAGGTCTCCCCGTGAATAAATACATTATTATTATTATTATTATTATTATTATTATTATTATTATTATTATCTTCCCCCATTATTTTCTGACCGGTCTGTGTGAATACTAAAGTGTTCCTGGGTACCTTTTTGTCAGTGGTACCTGTTTCATGTGTGGAGTGACCTCTGAGGGACCAGAGAGAGACCAGAGAGAGAGACCAGAGAGAGACCAGAGAGAGAGACCAAAAAGAGACCAAAGAGAGACCAGAGACAGACCAAAGAGAGAGACCAGAGAGAGAGACCAGAGAGAGATCAGAGAGAGAGACCAGAGAGAGAGACCATAGAGAGAGACCAAAGAGAGACCAGAGAGAGAGACCAGAGAGAGAGACCAGAGAGAGACCAGAGAGAGAGACCAAAGAGAGACCAGAGAGAGAGACCAGAGAGAGAGACCAGAGAGAGACCAGAGACAGACCAGAGAGAGACCAGAGAGAGAGACCAGAGAGAGAGAGACCAGAGACAGACCAGAGAGAGACCAGAGAGAGACCAGAGAGAGAGACCAGAGAGAGAGAGACCAGAGACAGACCAGAGAGAGACCAGAGAGAGAGACCAGAGAGAGAGAGACCAGAGACAGACCAGAGAGAGACACCAGAGAGAGACCAGAGAGAGACCAGAGAGAGAGACCAGAGAGAGACCAGAGAGAGAGACCAGAGACAGACCAGAGAGAGACCAGAGAGAGACCAGAGACAGACCAGAGAGAGACCAGAGAGAGACCAGAGAGAGAGACCAGAGACAGACCAGAGAGAGACCAGAGAGAGACCAGGGAGAGAGACCAGAGAGAGAGAGACCAGAGACAGACCAGAGAGAGACCAGAGAGAGAGACCAGAGAGAGAGACCAGAGAGAGAGAGACCAGAGACAGACCAGAGAGAGACCAGAGAGAGACCAGAGAGAGAGACCAGAGAGAGAGAGACCAGAGACAGACCAGAGAGAGACCAGAGAGAGAGACCAGAGAGAGAGAGACCAGAGAGAGAGAGACCAGAGACAGACCAGAGAGAGACCAGAGAGAGACCAGAGAGAGAGACCAGAGAGAGAGAGACCAGAGACAGACCAGAGAGAGACCAGAGACAGACCAGAGAGAGAGAGACCAGAGACAGACCAGAGACAGACCAGAGAGAGACCAGAGAGAGACCAGAGAGAGACCAGAGAGAGAGACCAGAGAGAGAGAGACCAGAGAGAGAGAGACCAGAGACAGACCAGAGAGAGACCAGAGAGAGAGACCAGAGAGAGAGAGACCAGAGACAGACCAGAGAGAGACCAGAGAGAGACCAGAGAGAGAGACCAGAGAGAGAAAGACCAGAGACAGACCAGAGAGAGACCAGAGACAGACCAGAGAGAGAGACCAGAGAGAGAGAGACCAGAGACAGACCAGAGACAGACCAGAGAGAGACCAGAGAGAGACCAGAGAGAGACCAGAGAGAGAGACCAGAGAGAGAGAGACCAGAGAGAGACCAGAGAGAGAGACCAGAGAGAGAGAGACCAGAGACAGACCAGAGAGAGACCAGAGAGAAAGACCAGAGAGAGAGACCAGAGAGAGAGACCAGAGAGAGAGAGACCAGAGACAGACCAGAGAGAGACCAGAGAGAGACCAGAGAGAGAGACCAGAGAGAGAGAGACCAGAGACAGACCAGAGAGAGACCAGAAAGAGAGACCAGAGAGAGAGAGACCAGAGACAGACCAGAGAGAGACCAGAGAGATACCAGAAAGAGACCAGAGAGAGACACCAGAGAGAGACCAGAGAGAGACCAGAGAGAGACCAGAGAGAGACCAGAGGGAGACCAGAGAGAGACCAGAGAGAGACCAGAGAGAGAGACCAGTGAGAGACCAGTGAGAGACCAGAGAGAGACCAGAGAGAGACCAGAGAGAGACCAGAGAGAGAGACCAGAGAGAGAGACCAGAGAGAGAGACCAGAGAGAGAGAGACCAGAGACAGACCAGAGAGAGACCAGAGAGAGAGACCAGAGAGAGACCAGAGAGAGAGACCAGAGAGAGACCAGAGAGAGACCAGAGACAGAGACCAGAGAGAGAGACCAGAGAGAGAGAGACCAGAGACAGACCAGAGAGAGACCAGAGAGAGAGACCAGAGAGAGAGACCAGAGAGAGAGACCAAAGAGAGACCAGAGACAGACCAGAGAGAGACCAGAGAGAGAGACCAGAGAGAGAGAGACCAGAGACAGACCAGAGAGAGACCAGAGAGAGAGACCAGAGAGAGAGACCAGAGAGAGAGAGACCAGAGAGTGATGTTTGAGACATTTCTCCAAAACCATGACCCTCGTGTGACCCCTGACCCCTCTGCGACCCCTGGATGACCTTGTGGACACACACAGTCGGGGCTCACCTGGTCCAAGCCCAGGTCCTGAGGCTGAGGACAGAGAGGAGGGGACTCCAGGGCAGGGTCAGAGGTCAGAGGTCAGGGTCAAAGGTCATATTCAGAGGTTAAACTTCAAGTTTCAAACACATTTACACAACTATACCTGTGTGTTCTCCTCTCCCCCACCTCCTCCTCCTCCCCTCACCACCTCCTCCTCCTCCCCATCACCTCTCCACCTCCCCTTCACCTCCTCCTCCTCCCCACCTCCTCCTCCCCCTCACTTCCTCCTCCTCCCCCTCACCACCTCCCCATCACCTCCTCCACCTCCCCATCACCTCCTCCTCCTCACCACCTCCTCCTCCCCCTCACCACCTCCTCCTGCCCCTCACCTCCTCCTCACCTTCAAGCCCCTCACCTCCTCCTCCCCACCTCCTCACCTTCTCCTGTCCCTCACCACCTCCTCCTGCCCCTCACCACCTCCTCCTGCGCCTCACCTCCCCCTCCTCCACCTCCTCACCTTCTCCTGCTCCGCCTGCAGCAGTCTCTGGGAGCTGAGTTCAGAGTTAGACTTTAGAGAATCTGTCCTCTGCTCCAGAAGCAGGTGGCTCTGCTCCATCCACCTGAGACACACACACACACACAGACACACACACTGACACAGTCAGATACACACACAGAGACACACAGAGACACACACAGACACAAACACAGACACACGCCACACAGTCAGATACACACACACAGAGACACACACACACACACACAGACACACACACACAAAGATACACTCACCTTTGGTTCTGGTCGATGAGTTCACTGATTTTATGGTTTTGTTTTTCAATTCGTGAACTTTTGTCAAAGACTTCTTTCTTCAGACTTTCGTTTTCCTGCAGGAAACAGGGGACAGAAGTCAGGGATCAAGGGTAAGAGGTCTGGGGTCAGCGGTCCGGGCTCATAGTCAGGGGTCAGAGTCAGGGGTCAGAGTCAGGAGTCAGAGGTCAGGGGTCAGAGGTCAAGGGTCAGAGTCAGAGTCAGGGGTCGGAATCAGGGGTCAGTCAGGAGTCAGAGGTCAGGGGTCAGAGGTCAAGGGTCAGAGTCAGGGATCAGAGTCAGGAGTCAGGGGTCAGAGGTCAGGGTCAGAGGTCAAAGAGTAGCACCTGAACTATCCTCTGGATGTTCTGCAGGATCATGGAGGTCTCCATGGACACAGAGGTCAGTGTGGGGTTCCCCTGTCTCTCCAGCTGCTCCACCTGAAGGACACAGCAACATGTGACATCACCCAACCCTGAAGGTTCTGGACCTGGACCCGGCCTGAAGGTTCTGGACCTGGACTGGGTCTGAATGTTCTGGACCAGGTCTCGGTCTGATTGTTCTGGACCAGGGGATATTTACACTAATGTTATACGCGCGTGTGACGGACGTGTGACAGACGCGTGACAGACGCGTGACTGACGCGTGACTGACGCGTGACAGACGCGTGACTGACGCGTGACAGACGCGTGACAGACGCGTGACAGACGCGTGACTGACGCGTGACAGACGCGTGACAGACGCGTGACAGACGCGTGACAGACGCGTGACAGACGCGTGACAGACGCGTGACAGACGCGTGACAGACGCGTGACAGACGCGTGACAGACGCGTGACTGACGCGTGACAGGCGCGTGACTGACGCGTGACAGGCGCGTGACAGACGCGTGACAGACGCGTGACAGACGCGTGACAGACGCGTGACAGACGCGTGACAGACGCGTGACAGACGCGTGACTGACGCGTGACTGACGCGTGACAGACGCGTGACAGACGCGTGACAGACGCGTGACAGACGCGTGACTGACGCGTGACTGACGCGTGACAGACGCGTGACAGACGCGTGACAGACGCGTGACAGACGCGTGACAGACGCGTGACAGACGCGTGACAGACGCGTGACAGACGCGTGACAGACGCGTGACAGACGCGTGACAGACGCGTGACAGACGCGTGACAGGCGCGTGACTGACGCGTGACAGGCGCGTGACAGACGCGTGACAGACGCGTGACTGACGCGTGACTGACGCGTGACAGACGCGTGACAGACGCGTGACAGGCGCGTGACTGACGCGTGACTAACGCGTGACAGACGCCTGACTGACGCGTGACAGACGCGTGACAGACGCGTGACAGACGCGTGACAGACGCGTGACAGACGCGTGACTGACGCGTGACTGACGCGTGACAGACGCGTGACAGACGCGTGACAGACGCGTGACAGACGCGTGACAGACGCGTGACAGACGCGTGACAGACGCGTGACTGACGCGTGACAGACGCGTGACTGACGCGTGACAGGCGCGTGACTGACGCGTGACAGGCGCGTGACAGACGCGTGACTGACGCGTGACAGACGCGTGACTGACGCGTGACAGACGCGTGACAGACGCGTGACAGACGCGTGACAGACGCGTGACAGACGCGTGACTGACGCGTGACTGACGCGTGACAGAAGCGTGACTGACGCGTGACTGACGCGTGACAGAAGCGTGACTGACGCGTGACAGACGCGTGACAGACGCGTGACAGACGCGTGACAGACGCGTGACAGACGCGTGACAGACGCGTGACAGACGCGTGACTGACGCGTGACAGAAGCGTGACTGACGCGTGACAGACGCGTGACAGACGCGTGACAGACGCGTGACAGACGCGTGACAGACGCGTGACAGACGCGTGACAGACGCGTGACAGACGCGTGACAGGCGCGTGACTGACGCGTGACAGGCGCGTGACAGACGCGTGACTGACGCCTGACTGACGCGTGACAGGCGCGTGACTGACGCGTGACTGACGCCTGACAGACGCGTGACAGACGCGTGACAGACGCGTGACAGACGCGTGACAGACGCGTGACTGACGCGTGACAGACGCGTGACAGACGCGTGACAGACGCGTGACAGACGCGTGACAGACGCGTGACAGACGCGTGACAGACGCGTGACAGACGCGTGACTGACGCGTGACAGGCGCGTGACTGACGCGTGACAGGCGCGTGACAGACGCGTGACAGACGCGTGACAGACGCGTGACAGACGCGTGACAGACGCGTGACAGACGCGTGACTGACGCGTGACTGACGCGTGACAGACGCGTGACTGACGCGTGACAGAAGCGTGACTGACGCGTGACAGAAGCGTGACTGACGCGTGACAGACGCGTGACAGACGCGTGACAGACGCGTGACAGACGCGTGACAGACGCGTGACAGACGCGTGACTGACGCGTGACTGACGCGTGACTGACGCGTGACAGACGCGTGACAGACGCGTGACAGACGCGTGACAGACGCGTGACAGACGCGTGACAGACGCGTGACAGACGCGTGACTGACGCGTGACAGACGCGTGACAGACGCGTGACAGACGCGTGACAGACGCGTGACTGACGCGTGACAGGCGCGTGACTGACGCGTGACAGGCGCGTGACAGACGCGTGACAGACGCGTGACAGACGCGTGACAGACGCGTGACAGACGCGTGACAGACGCGTGACTGACGCGTGACAGGCGCGTGACTGACGCGTGACAGGCGCGTGACAGACGCGTGACAGACGCGTGACAGACGCGTGACAGACGCGTGACAGACGCGTGACTGACGCGTGACAGACGCGTGACAGACGCGTGACAGACGCGTGACAGACGCGTGACAGACGCGTGACAGACGCGTGACTGACGCGTGACTGACGCGTGACAGACGCGTGACTGACGCGTGACTGACGCGTGACAGAAGCGTGACTGACGCGTGACAGACGCGTGACAGACGCGTGACAGACGCGTGACAGACGCGTGACAGGCGCGTGACAGACGCGTGACTGACGCGTGACTGACGCGTGACAGAAGCGTGACTGACGCGTGACAGACGCGTGACAGACGCGTGACAGAAGCGTGACTGACGCGTGACAGACGCGTGACTGACGCGTGACTGACGCCTGACAGACGCGTGACAGACGCGTGACAGACGCGTGACAGACGCGTGACTGACGCGTGACTGACGCGTGACAGACGCGTGACAGACGCGTGACTGACGCGTGACTGACGCGTGACAGACGCGTGACAGACGCGTGACAGACGCGTGACAGACGCGTGACAGACGCGTGACAGACGCGTGACTGACGCGTGACAGACGCGTGACAGACGCGTGACAGGCGCGTGACAGACGCGTGACAGACGCGTGACAGACGCGTGACAGACGCGTGACAGACGCGTGACTGACGCGTGACTGACGCGTGACAGACGCGTGACTGACGCGTGACTGACGCGTGACAGAAGCGTGACTGACGCGTGACAGACGCGTGACAGACGCGTGACAGACGCGTGACAGACGCGTGACAGGCGCGTGACAGACGCGTGACTGACGCGTGACTGACGCGTGACAGAAGCGTGACTGACGCGTGACAGACGCGTGACAGACGCGTGACAGAAGCGTGACTGACGCGTGACAGACGCGTGACTGACGCGTGACTGACGCCTGACAGACGCGTGACAGACGCGTGACAGACGCGTGACAGACGCGTGACTGACGCGTGACTGACGCGTGACAGACGCGTGACTGACGCGTGACAGACGCGTGACTGACGCGTGACTGACGCGTGACAGACGCGTGACAGACGCGTGACAGACGCGTGACTGACGCGTGACTGACGCGTGACAGACGCGTGACAGACGCGTGACAGGCGCGTGACAGGCGCGTGACAGGCGCGTGACAGACGCGTGACGCGAGGCTGTGCCTAATTTAGGATGGATTTCTAATTTTGTGCGCGCAGCAACACGTCTCCAGTCAAAGCACATGGAAACATGATTCTAGCGGTCCTTGGCTCTAGATCACATCCACACACACATACAAACACACACACGCACACACGAACAGCAGGTTTTACAGTGATTCTGGACATTGTTTTTCTTCTATTCATAAAGTCTGGCGTCTGGCCAAACCAGTGCACAGAGACCATGAAGACAAATGTAACCCGGATCATTTTTATCGTTCTCTGCACCTCTCCAGTTGTCATTTTTTGCAGTCTCTTTTAAATAATCTCGCAGTAGTTGTTTTTTTTCCGACGAGAGTTCGAGCGAGAGTTCCCACGGTCACCATGGCAACATTTCCTCAAATAAGCACGCGCTATCCACAGTTGGGTGTGCTGCTGTGGGGAAGGTTTGGATCTAAGCAGGCTGCAGGTAATTTCCCTCGATCTAACTTTGTTTCATAATCTGTGGGTTGTAACTGATATGCTTTCACTACAGGCGCCTCCTACACTATCTTTGACGCGGTGTCACACTATTTGCCTTATTATGCAGAGGAACTGGCCAGGTTCTGTCCCACAGTACTACACAAACACATGTGATTTGTGTTGCTCTACATCAGTTCTGTACTGTCCTCTACACTGCTCCATAGACTACACAGGGACAGCATCAGAAGCCTGTACCTGTGCTCACGCCCAGAGGACATACAGCCGAGTAATGTTACGCACAAATGCGCACAGTCAACGCCTACGCGCCGTTAATGCCTGCTGTGGACATCAGCTGTGAGACTTTTTGCTGGAACTAAATATTTAATTCCCAGATTTCCTCTACAACCGGTACACACACAGGCACACAGGTACACACAGAGGGACACACACACGTACACATACGTACACACAGGTACACACACAGGGACACACACAAGTACACACAGGTACACACACTCGTGCACATACAGTATGTACACACAGGTACACACACACACGTACACATACAGTATGTACACACAGGTACACACACAAGTACACACAGATGCACACAGGTACACACACACGTACACACAGGTACACACACACGTACACATACAGTATGTACACACAGGTACACACAGGGGCACACACACGTACACATACAGTATGTACACATGGGTACACACACAGGCACACAGGGACACAAACAGGTCCACACACAGGTACACACAGGTACACACAGAGGGACACACACACGTACACACACAGGTACACAAACACGTACACACAGGTACACACAGAGGAACACACACACGTACACATACGTAGACACAAGTATACACACAGGCACACAGGGACACACACAGGTACAGACAGGTGCACACACACATATGTACACACACAAGTACAAACACAGGTACACACAGAGACACACAGGTAAACACACAGGTAAACACACAGAGACACACGGGTACTGCCAGACCCACTGTGTGTCATGTACCTTTGTTGTCAGCTGATCCACTTTGTCTCCGACTTTGGAAACAGCCAATCGAATCTCTGTGTTGTGCTGTCGAGCCTCAGTCATCAGGAAAGATGTGACATCACCAGAGCCTGAAGAGAGAGAGGGTTATGGTACTGAGCTCATTCACTCACTCACTCACTCACAGTCAGTCACTCACACAGTCAGTCAGTCAGTTACTCACACAGTCAGTCAGTCAGTTACTCACACAGTCACTCACTCACACAGTCACTCACTCACACAGTTACTCACACAGTTACTCACACAGTTACTCAGTCACACAGTCACTCACACAGTCACTCACTCACACAGTTACTCACACAGTCAGTCAGTCAGTCACTCTCACAGTCACTCACACAGTCACTCACTCACACAGTCACTCACATAGTCACTCTCACAGTCACTCACTCACTCACACACACAGTCACTCACATAGTCAGTCACTGACTCACTCACAGTCAGTCACACAGTCACTCACATAGTCAGTCACTCACTCACTCACACAGTCACTCTCACAGTCACTCTCACAGTCACTCACACAGTCACTCACTCACAGTCACTCACTCACTCACAGTCACTCACACACTCACTCACACAGTCACTCACACACTCACTCACACAGTCACTCACACAGTCACTCACTCACACAGTCACTCACTCACTCACTCACAGTTACTCACACAGTCCCTCACTCACTCACACACTCACTCACACAGTCACTCACACAGTCACTCACTCACACAGTCACTCACTCACTCACACACTCACTCACACAGTCACTCACACAGTCACTCACTCACTCACTCACTCACTCACTCACTCACTCTCTCACTCACTCAGTCAGTCACTCACTCACTCACAGTCACTCACTCACTCACTCACAGTCACTCACTCACTCACTCAGTCACTCACTCACTCACTCACTCACTCACTCACTCACAGTCACTCACTCACTCACTCACTCACAGTCACTCACTCACTCACTCACTCACTCACAGTCACTCACTCACAGTCACTCACTCACTCACTCACTCACTCACAGTCACTCACACAGTCACTCACATCAGTCAGTCACTCACTCACTCAGTCACTCACTCACACAGTCACTCTCACAGTCACTCACTCACACAGTCACTCACACAGTCACTCACTCACTCACTCACTCACAGTCACTCACTCACAGTCACTCACTCACTCACTCACTCACTCACTCACTCACTCACAGTCACTCACTCACTCACTCACAGTCACTCACTCACTCACAGTCACTCACTCACTCACTCACTCAGTCACTCACTCACTCACTCACAGTCACTCACTCACAGTCACTCACTCACACAGTCACTCACATAGTCAGTCACTGACTCACTCACAGTCACTCACTCACACAGACACTCACACAGTCACTCACAGTCACCCACTCACTCACAGTCAGTCACACAATCACTCACATAGTCAGTCACTGACTAACTCACACAGTCACTCACTCACTCACACACACACAGTCACACACACAGTCACTCACATAGTCAGTCACTGACTCACTCACAGTCACTCACACAGACACTCACACAGACACTCACACAGTCACTCACTCACTCACTCACAGTCAGTCACACAGTCACTCACACAGTCACTCACACAGTCACTCGTCACTCACACAGTCACTCACACACACAGTCACTCACACAGACACTCACACAGTCACTCACACAGTCACTCACTCACACAGTCACTCGTCACTCACACAGTCACTCACACACACAGTCACTCACATAGTCAGTCACTGACTCACTCACAGTCACTCACACAGTCACTCACACAGTCACTCACTCACACAGTCACTCACACAGTCACTCGTCACTCACACAGTCACTCACACACACAGTCACTCACACAGACACTCACACAGTCACTCACACAGTCACTCACTCACACAGTCACTCGTCACTCACACAGTCACTCACACACACAGTCACTCACATAGTCAGTCACTGACTCACTCACAGTCACTCACACAGACACTCACACAGTCACTCACTCACTCACTCACTCACAGTCAGTCACACACACAGTCACTCACATAGTCAGTCACTCACTCACTCACACAGTCACTCACTCACTCACACACACACAGTCACTCACACAGTCACTCACTCACACACACACAGTCACTCACACAGTCACTCACTCACACACACACAGTCACTCACAGTCAGTCACTGACTCACTCACAGTCACTCACTCACACAGTCACTCACTCTCTCACAATTTATACACACTCAAACACACACACACTCACTCACTCACCCACACTCACTCACTCACCCATGTAGGAGACGCTCTGGAGGGGGAAGCCTGTGCCCAGCGGCTGCAGCTGAGAGACTGGGGTGGGGGTGAGGGAGGAGGTGAGGGAGGGGGTGAGGGAGTAGGGGTAAGGCTGAGGGGGGAGGAACCACACTGTGAGCTTTGAACAACACAGATCTAGAGCAATGAAAAGATGAAAGGATGAACCCAAAGGCTGAACATCAGACTGATATTTGTCAAACAGCAACAGTTGTGGATTCACCCTCAGCAGATTAGAAAATCATTAGACTCATTTTAACTGTTTGACCACGTTTCAGAAGAACAGAATACAACCCTTGGATACAGGGTCATTTATACAGGTGTCATCTATACAGGTGTCATTTATACAGGGTCATTTATACAGGCGTCATCTATACAGGGGTCATGTATACAGGAGTAATTTATACAGGCGTCCTCTATACAGGTGTCATCTATACAGGCGTCATCTATACAGGGTCATTTGTACAGGCGTCATTTGTACAGGTGTCATCTATACAGGTGCCATTTATACAGGGTAATTTATACAGGCGTCATTTATACAGGCGTCATCTATACAGGGGTCATGTATACAGGAGTCATTTATACAGGTGTCATTTATACAGGCGTCATATATACAGGCGTCATATATACAGGCGTCATATATACAGGCATCATTCATACTGGTGTCATTCATACGGGTGTCATTTATACTGGCGTCATTTATACTGGCGTCATTTATACAGGCGTCATCTATACAGGCATCTATATAGGCGTCATTTATACAGGCATAATTTATACAGGTATCGTTCATACCGGCGTCATTTATACAGGTATCATTCATACCAGCGTCATTTATACAGGGTCATCTATACAGGCGTAATTTATACAGGCGTCATCTATTTAGGCGTCATTTATACAGCCGTCATTTATACAGGTATCATTTATACCAGCGTCATTTCATTTATACTGGGTCATCTATACAGGCGTAATTTATACAGGGTAATTTATACAGGGTCATATATACAGGAGTCATTTATACAGGAGTCATTTAAATATAGAATGAGGAACATGACCTCTGACCCCTACCTGGAAGGCGTGTGTGTGGGAGGGCACCAGACCAGGTGGTGCCCCCTGGGGGTGGACCATGTGGAGACCAGGACCAGAACCTGCTGAGGTCTGAGCTATAGGCTCCTTCAGCTTGGAGAGACTGGAGTCCTACAGGAACAGGGTTTAACATAGCTCTCTGTGACGGTAGCTCTCTGTGCCTGTAGCTCTCTCTGACTGTAGCTCTCTGTGACTGTAGCTCTCTGTGACTGTAGCTTTCTGTGAATGCAGCTCTTTGACTGTAGCTCTCTGACACTGTAGCTCTCTGTGACTGTAGCTCTCTGTGCCTGTAGCTCTCTCTGACTGTAGCTCTCTGTGACTGTAGCCCTCTCTGACTGTAGCTCTCTGTGAATGCAGCTCTCTGACTTTAGCTCTCTGACACTGTAGCTCTCTGTTACTGTAGCTTTCTGTGACTGTAGCTCTCTGTGACTGCAGCTCTCTGACACTGTAGCTCTCTGTGACTCTAGCTCTTTGTGACTGTAGCTCTCTGTAACTGTAGCTCTCTCTGGCTGTGGCTCTCTGACTGTAGCTCTCTGTCTGTAGCTTACTCTGACTGTAGCTCTCAATGACTGTATCTCTCTGACTGTAGCTCTCTCTGACGTTAGCTCTCTGTGACTGTAGCTCTCTGACTAGCTCTTTGTCGCTGTATCTCTCTGTGACTGTAGCTCTCTCTGACTGTAGCTCTGTCGCTGTAGCTCTTTGTCGCTGTAGCTCTCTGACTGTAGCTCTTTGTCGCTGTAGCTCTCTATGACTATCTCTCTGTGACTGTAGCTCTCTCCGACTGTAGCTCTCTGTGACTGCAGCTCTCCGACTGTAGCTCTTTGTGGCTGTAGCTTTCTTTGACTGTAGCTCTTTGTGGCTGTAGCTCTCTGTGACTGTAGCTGACTGTAACTCTCTCTGACTGCAGCTCACTGACTGTAGCTCTCTCTGAATGTAGCTCTCTGACTGTAACTTTCTCTAACTCTAGTTCTCTCTTACTGTTGCTCTCTGATTTTAGCTCTCTATAACTTTAGCTCTCTGTAGCTCTCTCACCTCTAGTTCAGAATCGCTGGACTCTGGTTGGCTGCTGGTGATGATTGGTAACATCTGTCCCATCTTTGCCATTCGAGAGATGAGTTTGGCTTTTGTAGAATCAGGGTTCTGGGTGAAGCGGAAGAAGAACACCAGTGTCACAAGAGCCACAGGAGCCAGAGGAGCCACAAGAGCCAGAGCAGTAAAAACAAGAGATTGTTTACCGTGAGTTGTTCACTGAGGGAGTTGGACTTTGCTCTCAGCGACCTGAAAGAGTAACATGAGGATCATGATGAGGGTCATGGTCAGGGTCATGCTGAGGGTCATAGTGAGGGTCATGATGAGGGTCATGGTGAGGGTTATAGTGAGGGTCATGATGAGGGTCATGTTGAGGGTCATGGTGAGGGTCATGGTGAGGGTCATAGTGAGGGTCATAGTGAGGGTCATGTTGAGGGTCATGTTGAGGGTCATAGTGAGGGTCATGATGAGGGTCATGATGAGGGTCATGGTGAGGGTCATGATGAGGGTCATGCTGAGGGTCATAGTGAGGGTCATGATGAGGGTCATAGTGAGGGTCATGATGAGGGTCATAGTGAGGGCCATGATGAGGGTCATGATGAGGGTCATAGTGAGGGTCATGGTGAGGGTCATGGTGAGGGTCATGTTGAGGGTCATGGTGAGGGTCATGTTGAGGGTCATGGTGAGGGTCATAGTGAGGGTCATGATGAGGGTCATGATGAGGTTCATGGAGAGGGTCATAGTGAGGGTCATGCTGAGGGTCATAGTGAGGGTCATGATGAGGGTCATGATGAGGGTCATAGTGAGGGTCATGATGAGGGTCATAGTGAGGGTCATGATGAGGGTCATGATGAGGGTCATAGTGAGGGTCATGATGAGGGTCATGGTGAGGGTCATGGTGAGGGTCATGCTGAGGGTCATGATGAGGGTCATAGTGAGGGTCATGATGAGGGTCATGATGAGGGTCATAGTGAGGGTAATGATGAGGGTCATGATGAGGGTCATAGTGAGGGTCATGGGGAGGGTCATGCTGAGGGTCATAGTGAGGGTAATGATGAGGGTCATGATGAGGGTCATAGTGAGGGTCATGATGAGGGTCATGATGAGGGTCATGGTGAGGGTCATAGTGAGGGTCATGATGAGGGTCATGATGAGGGTCATGGTGAGGGTCATGCTGAGGGTCATAGTGAGGGTCATGGTGAGGGTCATGATGAGGGTCATAGTGAGGTTCATGATGAGGGTCATGGTGAGGGTCATGGTGAGGGTCATGTTGAGGGTCATGTTGAGGGTCATGATGAGGGTCATGATGAGGGTCATGATGAGGGTCATGATGAGGGTCATGATGAGGGTCATGGTGAGGTCATGGTGAGGGTCATGGTGAGGGTCATAGTGAGGGTCATGATGAGGGTCATGGTGAGGGTCATAGTGAGGGTCATGATGAGGGTCATGGTGAGGGTCATGCTGAAGGTCATGTTGAGGGTCATGGTGAGGGTCACATTGAGGGTCATGTTAAGGGTCATGGGGAGGGTCATGGTGAGGGTCATGTTGAGGGTCAGGGTGAGGGTCATGTTGAGGGTCATGAGGAGGGTCATGATGAGGGTCATGATGAGGGTCAAGGTGAGGGTCATGTTGAGGGCTATGAGGGTCAGTGATAGTGAGGTGCTAGTCTTACGTTGGTCTCCCTGGTCCTGTGGGAGTCAGCTGAGGCTGTGTGACCGGTTCAGGGGCCAGAACGTCCACGCTGGGGGCTAGAGAGGGAGCAGGAGAAGGAGCAGGAGAAGGAGCAGGAGAAGGAGCAGGAGAAGGAGCAGGAACAGGAGAAGGAGCAGCAGAGTTCTTCCTGCTGCCCTGGTCTGAGCCCGAGTGCTTCCCAAACTTCACCTACACAAAATGAACGTGTAAATACAGATGTGCAGTGATCATCACAACAGTTCCTTTTATTTAGACATTTTTATCTTTATAGAACCATTTAGAGACAGTGTCATGTGTGTAACATGTTAACGCATTGTCTGCCATAAACGTAAAAATACCTTTCTCCAAAATACATTGTTTTTCACTCTTTTCCTCTCTGACTGTGTCCCCTGTTTCATATATGCCTGTGTTTGTATCATATATGTCTGTGTCCCCTGTATCATATGTGCCTGTATCATATATGTCTGTGTCCCCTGTATCATATGTGCCTGTGTCTGTATCATATATGTCTGTGTCCCCTGTATCATATATGTCTGTGTCTATCATACAGACACAGACATGTATGATACAGGGGACACAGACATATATGATGCAGGGGACACGGACATACAAGTCCTTCTTTAAAAATTAGCATATTGTGATAAAAAATTGTGATATTTACTGTAATGTAGACTTTCATATATTTTAAATTCATTACACACAACTGAGGTAGTTCAAGCCTTTTATTGTTTTAATATTGATGATTTTGGCAAAAAAGTAAAGAAAAACAATAAAATTCGAATCTAAAATTTTTTGCATTTTTCATCCGACCAATAAAAGAAAAGTGTTTTTAATACAAAAAATGTTAACCTTCAAATAATTATGTTCAGTTATGCACTCAATACTTGATCAGGAATCCTTTTTTAGAAATGAATGCTTCAATATGGCGTGGCATGGCATGGCCTGGCCTGTGGCACTGCTGAGGTGTTATGGAGCCCCAGGATGCTTCAATAGTGGCCTTAAGTTCATCCACAGTGTTGGCTCTGGTGACTCTCAACTTCCTCTTCACAATATCTCAAAGATTCTCTGGGGTTCAGGTCAGGAGAGTTTGCAGGCCAATTGAGTACAGTAATCCCACGGTCAGTAAACCATTTACCAGTGGTTTTGGCACTGTCAGCAGGTGCCAGGTCGTTCAGATGGAAGCATGAAGTGCTCCAAAATCTCCTGATAGCTGCATTGACCCTGCCCTTGATAAAACACAGTGGACCAGCACCAGCAGCTGATATGACACCCCAGACTATCACTGACTTCCTCCACACTCTGGCACCTTGATTTCATGTGAAAAAAGTACTTTGGAGCATTGAGCAACAGTCCAGTGCTGCTTCTCTGTCGCCCAGGTCAGGGGCTTCTGCCGCTGTTTCTGGTTGTGGTTTCTGTGGCCCATTTCCTGCACACGCCTGTGCACACGCCTGTGCACACGCCTGTGCACACGCCTGTGCACACGCCTGTGCACGATGGCTGTGCACGATGGCTGTGGATGTTTCTGCTCCAGACTCAAGGCCTGTGTACACTCGCGCGGCGCTGCTTACGGTTGCGGTTACATTGGACCTACATAACCACAGTTTGTGGTACACTTGCACGTTCCCCGAATGTTGTAATCCCACAACCAACCACATGATGGCAAACTCACAGGAGTTGCCTAACCAAAGCGTTCCCATTTGTGCTGGTACTTTCTCCTCTTCAGAACAAAAACAATAGTGAAGTACATGTCAGTGTCTGTACAGGCGGCACGGTGGCTGAGTGGATAGCACTCTCGCCTCTCAGCAAGAAGGTCCTGGGTTCGAATCCTGGTCGGACCAAGGCCTTTCTGAGTGGAGTTTGCATGTTCTCCCAGTTGTCTGCGTAGGTTTCCTCCAGATGCTCCGGTTTCCCCTACCACTAAAAATATGTACAATAGTTCTGGCATGTGCCTCCTGTTTGGCGACCCCGCTCCCATCTCTGTGTGGAGTGAGAGGACAAGTGCCCAAAAATAACAATTGTAAACCGCTTTGAGACTCTGGTCTGTGAAAGGCGGTATATCCAGTGCCTTGCGAAAGTACTCGGCCCCCTTGAACCTTTCAACATTCCGCCACATTTCAGGCTTCAAACATAAAGAAAAAAGAATCGGGAAGTGGAACAAAATGTATTGGATAATTTAAACTTTTTTAACAAATAAAAAAGTGGGGCGTCCAATATTATTCGGCCCCTTTACTTTCAGTGCAGCAAACTCAGTCCAGAAGTTCAGTGAGGATCTTTGAATGATCCAATGTTGTCCTAAATGACTGATGATGATAAATAGAATGCACCTGTGTGTAATCAAGTCTCCGTATAAATGCACCTGCTCTTTGATAGTCTCAGGGTTCTGTTTAAAGTGCAGAGAGAACCATGAAGACAAAGGAACACACCAGGCAGGTCTGAGATACTGTTGTGGAGAAGTTTAAAGCCGGAATTTGGATACAAAAAGATTTCCCAAGCTTTAAACATCTCAAGGAGCACTGTGCAAGCAATTATATTGAATGGAAGGAGTATCAGACCACTGCAAATCTACCAAGACCCGGCCGTCCCTCCAAACTTTCATCTCAAACAAGGAGAAGACTGATCAGAGATGCAGCCAAGAGGCCCATGATCACTCTGGATGAACTGCAGATAACTACAGTTGAGGTGGGAGAGTCTGTCCATAGGACAACAATCAGTCGTGCACTGCACAAATCTGGCCTTTATGGAAGAGTGGCAAGAAGAAAGCCATTTCTCAAAGATATCCATAAAAAGTCTCGTTTAAAGTTTGCCACAAGCCACCTGGGAGACACACCAAACATGTGGAAGAAGGTGCTCTGGTCAGATGAAACCAAAATCAAACTTTTTGGCCACAATGCAAAACGATATGTTTGGCGTAAAAGCAACACAGCTCATCACCCTGAACACACCATCCCCACTGTCAAACAGGGTGGTGGCAGCATCATGCTTTGGGCCTGCTTTTCTTCAGCAGGGACAGGGAAGATGGCTAAAATTGATGGGAAGATGGATGGAGCCAAATACAGGACCATTCTGGAAGAAAACCTGTTGGAGTCTGCAAAAGACCTGAGACTGGGACGGAGATTTATCTTCCAACAGGACAATGATCCAAAACATAAAGCCAAATCTACAATGGAATGGTTCACAAATAGACGTATCCAGGTGTTAGAATGGCCAAGTCAAAGTCCAGACCTGAATCCAATCGAGAATCTGTGGAAAGAGCTGAAGACTGCTGTTCACAAACGCTCTCCATCCAACCTCACTGAGCTCGGACTGTTTTGCAAGGAAGAATGGGAAAGAATTCCAGTCTCTGGATGTGCAAAACTGATAGAGACATACCCCAAGCGACTTGCAGCTGTAATTGCAGCAAAAGGTGGCGCTACAAAGTATTAGCGCAAGGGGGCCGAATAATATTGCACGCCCCACTTTTCAGTTTTGTATTTGTTAACAAAGTTTAAATTCCATCCATCCATTTTCTTCCCCTTAATCCATTTCTGGGTCGGGGGGGTGGCAGTCAGAGCTGCACCCAGTACACTTAGCACCAGCCCCTCACTGATCCTCCTGCAGGTGGTGAGTCCACAGGAGCTGAGATCTTTCAGTGGGAGCTTCAGGCAAAGTGGGGTTAAGTGTCTTGCCCAAGGACACAACGACAGCAGTCATCAGTGGGAGTCGTGAAGTAGGTCTTACGGTGGGCTCGAACCCACGACCTTCAGGCCCACAGACCAATGCTCTACCAACTGAGCTACTGTCACCCCCAAAAGTTTAAATTATCCAATAAATTTTGTTCCACTTCACGATTGTGTCCCACTTGTTGTTGATTCTTGAATTTTATTTTTATTTTTATATCTTTATGTTTGAAGCCTGAAATGTGGCAAAATGTTGAAAGGTTCAAGGGGGTCGAATTCTTTCACAAGGCACTGTAAATAAAGATTACTTCCTTACTTACTGTATCATACATGTCTGTATCATACATGTCTGTGTCCACTGGAGGGACAGAGCAGCAGACAGAGACCATGTGGAGGGACAGAGCAGCAGACAGAGACCATGTGGAGGGACAGAGCAGCAGACAGAGACCATGTGGAGGGACAGAGCAGCAGACAGAGACCATGTGGAGGGACAGAGCAGCAGACAGAGACCATGTGGAGGGTCAGAGCAGCAGACAGAGACCATGTGGAGGGACAGAGCAGCAGACAGAGACCATGTGGAGGGACAGAGCAGCAGACAGAGACCATGTGGAGGGACAGAGCAGCAGACAGAGACCATGTGGAGGGACAGAGCAGCAGACAGAGACCATGTGGAGGGTCAGAGCAGCAGACAGAGACCATGTGGAGGGACAGAGCAGCAGACAGAGACCATGTGGAGGGACAGAGCAGCAGACAGAGACCATGTGGAGGGTCAGAGCAGCAGACAGAGACCATGTGGAGGGACAGAGCAGCAGACAGAGACCATGTGGAGGGACAGAGCAGCAGACAGAGACCATGTGGAGGGACAGAGCAGCAGACAGAGACCATGTGGAGGGACAGAGCAGCAGACAGAGACCATGTGGAGGTCAGAGCAGCAGACAGAGACATGTGGAGGGACAGAGCAGCAGACAGAGACCATGTGGAGGGACAGAGCAGCAGACAGAGACCATGTGGAGGGACAGAGCAGCAGACAGAGACCATGTGGAGGGACAGAGCAGCAGACAGAGACCATGTGGAGGGACAGAGCAGCAGACAGAGACCATGTGGAGGGACAGAGCAGCAGACAGAGACCATGTGGAGGGTTCAGAGCAGCAGACAGAGACCATGTGGAGGGTCAGAGCAGCAGACAGAGACCATGTGGAGGGACAGAGCAGCAGACAGAGACCATGTGGAGGGACAGAGCAGCAGACAGAGACCATGTGGAGGGACAGAGCAGCAGACAGAGACCATGTGGAGGGTCAGAGCAGCAGACAGAGACCATGTGGAGGGTCAGAGCAGCAGACAGAGACCATGTGGAGGGTCAGAGCAGCAGACAGAGACCATGTGGAGGGACAGAGCAGCAGACAGAGACCATGTGGAGGGTCAGAGCAGCAGACAGAGACCATGTGGAGGGACAGAGCAGCAGACAGAGACCATGTGGAGGGTCAGAGCAGCAGACAGAGACCATGTGGAGGGACAGAGCAGCAGACAGAGACCATGTGGAGGGACAGAGCAGCAGACAGAGACCATGTGGAGGGTCAGAGCAGCAGACCAGCAGTGCACCCCAAAAAAGCCACACAAAAGTGGACTGTCGCTAAAACTATCACTGAGCCTGCACCAGGAGCCAGCGCCAAAGTCCAGTTATGGTCACAGCGCTCGGACTAAACAGAACGACACTCTGTAAATGTAACCACACAAACGTGCGCATAAGGCACATACATGCACGCCCAAACACACACAACAGTATTCTATTGCACTAATAGTATAAGTATATTGTCTGTTCACTTTGATTTATTGTCATTTATAGTGTTTATCATTGTAATTTGGGTCATCTCTAATTTACTGTTAATGACATAAATATAGCGCCCCCTAATGGATGAATACTGGTCCTTCTGAACGGGATAGTTTGTCATGGGCTCTACTGTAAATGAAGACGTTTTTTGGATGAGTACATTTTGAAATATTTGAGCAACACTTTGTGGATGCTAAAGTGTTTTTTAACATGTATGATCCTGGACATGTTTGAGACTAAAGTGTTTTCTAACATGTATGATCCTGGACATGTTTGAGACTAAAGTGTTTTCTAACATGTATGATCCTGGACATGTTTGAGACTAAAGTGTTTTCTAACATGTATGATCCTGGACATGTTTGAGACTAAAGTGTTTTCTAACATGTATGATCCTGGACATGTTTGAGGAGATGCTGAAGTGTTTTCTGACATGTATGATCCTGGACATATTTGAGACTAAAGTGTTTTTTAACATGTATGATCCTGGACATGTTTGAGGAGATGCTGAAGTGTTTTCTGACATGTATGATCCTGGACATGTTTGAGACTAAAGTGTTTTCTAACATGTATGATCCTGGACATGTTTGAGGAGATGCTGAAGTGTTTTCTAACATGTATGATCCTGGACATGTTTGAGACTAAAGTGTTTTTTAACATGTATGATCCTGGACATGTTTGAGGAGATGCTGAAGTGTTTTCTGACATGTATGATCCTGGACATGTTTGAGACTAAAGTGTTTTCTAACATGTATGATCCTGGACATGTTTGAGACTAAAGTGTTTTCTAACATGTATGATCCTGGACATGTTTGAGACTAAAGTGTTTTCTAACATGTCTGATCCTGGACATGTTTGAGGAGACTAAAGTGTTTTCTAACATGTATGATCCTGGACATGTTTGAGACTAAAGTGTTTTCTAACATGTATGATCCTGGACATGTTTGAGACTAAAGTGTTTTCTAACATGTATGATCCTGGACATGTTTGAGACTAAAGTGTTTTCTAACATGTATGATCCTGGACATGTTTGAGGAGATGCTGAAGTGTTTTCTAACATGTATGATCCTGGACATGTTTGAGACTAAAGTGTTTTTTAACATGTATGATCCTGGACATGTTTGAGGAGATGCTGAAGTGTTTTCTAACATGTATGATCCTGGACATGTTTGAGACTAAAGTGTTTTCTAACATGTATGATCCTGGACATGTTTGAGGAGATGCTGAAATGTTTTCTGACATGTATGATCCTGGACATATTTGAGACTAAAGTGTTTTTTAACATGTATGATCCTGGACATGTTTGAGGAGATGCTGAAGTGTTTTCTAACATGTATGATCCTGGACATGTTTGAGACTAAAGTGTTTTCTAACATGTATGATCCTGGACATGTTTGAGACTAAAGTGTTTTCTAACATGTATGATCCTGGACATGTTTGAGACTAAAGTGTTTTCTAAAATGTATGATCCTGGACATGTTAGAGACTAAAGTGTTTTCTAACATATACTGTATGATCCTGGGCATGTTTGAGGATATGCTAAAGTATTTTCTAACATGTATGGTCCTGGACATGTTTGAGGATATGTTAAAGTGTTTTCTAACATGTATGGTCCTGGACATGTTTGAGGAGATGCTAAAGTGTTTTCTAACATGTATGATCCTGGACATGTTTGAGACTAAAGTGTTTTCTAACATGTATGATCCTGGACATGTTAGAGACTAAAGTGTTTTCTAACATATACTGTATGATCCTGGGCATGTTTGAGGATATGCTAAAGTATTTTCTAACATGTATGGTCCTGGACATGTTTGAGGATATGTTAAAGTGTTTTCTAACATGTATGGTCCTGGACATGTTTGAGGATATGCTAAAGTGTTTTCTAACATGTATGGTCCTGGACATGTTTGAGACTAAAGTGTTTTCTAACATATATGATCCTGGACCTGTTTGAGGAGACACTAACGTTAAACTAAATAGTGTTACAGTCACTTTTCTGCAGGTTCGTCTGTTTTCATTTTCTCAGCTTTTTGTCTAAGACTGGTGCTTTTTGTCACACTCCCCTCTTTTCGACTGGAGATCACAGGAGAACAAAATAAGCTAAAAACAAACTTCTTTCTGCTGCTGAAAGTAGACAGTCCTGTCTTTCAGACTCTGGTTTCATATTTCTCATAATCATAGCAAACAGTATTCTGTGAGTCTTGAAAATCAGTGAAGTCATTAAAAATGGCTGCAGTAAATGAGTTAATACATGAGAGCTTCTAAAGCCTGGGGGCTGTTACCTTGTGGACCTGTCTAACGCCTGGAGGCATTTACCCTGTGGACCTGTCTAAAGCCTGGAAGCAATTACCTTGTGGACCTGTCTAAAGCCTGGGGCAGTTACCCTGTGGATCTGTCTAACACCTGGAAGCAGTTACCCTGTGGACCTGTCTAAAGCCTGGAAGCAGTTACCCTGTGGACCTGTCTAATGCCTGGAAGCAGTTACCCTGTGGACCTGTCTAATGCCTGGAAGCAGTTACCCTGTGGATCTGTCTAAAGTCTGGGGGCAGTTACCCTGTGGACCTGTCTAACGCCTGGAAGCAGTTACCCTGTGGATCTCTGCCTCAAACACCAGCGTGGCGTTGGGGGGGATGCGGTTCTGGACGCCCTTGGATCCGTACGCCAGGTTTGGAGGAACGACGATGAGACGACGAGACGACCTCTTCATCCCGATCATGCCCTCCTCCCAGCCCTGTACACACACACCAGGTGGGAACACCAGGAGGGAACACCAGGTGGGAACACCAGGAGGAAACACCAGGAGGTAACACCAGGAGGAAACACCAGGTGGGAACACCAGGAGCAAACACCAGGAGGAAACACCAGGAGGGAACACCAGGAGGAAACACCAGGAGGAAACACCAGGTGGGAACACCAGGAGCAAACACCAGGAGGAAACACCAGGAGGGAACACCAGGAGGTAACACCAGGAGGGAACACCAGGAGGGAACACCAGGAGGTAACACCAGGAGGGAACACCAGGAGGGAACACCAGGAGGAAACACCAGGAGGAAACACCAGGAGGAAACACCAGGTGGGAACACCAGGAGGTAACACCAGGAGGAAACACCAGGAGGGAACACCAGGAGGTAACACCAGGAGGAAACACCAGGAGGTAACACCAGGAGGAAACACCAGGAGGAAACACCAGGAGGAAACACCAGGAGGAAACACCAGGAGGAAACACCAGGAGGAAACACCAGGTGGGAACACCAGGAGGTAACACCAGGAGGAAACACCAGGAGGAAACACCAGGAGGGAACACCAGGAGGGAACACCAGGAGGAAACACCAGGAGGGAACATCAGGTGGGAACACCAGGAGGTAACACCAGGAGGAAACACCAGGAGGGAACACCAGGAGGAAACACCAGGAGGAAACACCAGGAGGAAACACCAGGAGGAAATACCAGGAGGAAACACCAGGAGGAAACACCAGGAGGAAACACCAGGAGGTAACACCAGGTGGGAACACCAGGAGGAAACACCAGGAGGGAACACCAGGAGGAAACACCAGGTGGGAACACCAGGAGGTAACACCAGGAGGAAACACCAGGAGGGAACACCAGGAGGTAATACCAGGAGGAAACACCAGGAGGAAACACCAGGAGGAAACACCAGGAGGAAACACCAGGAGGAAACACCAGGAGGAAACACCAGGAGGTAACACCAGGTGGGAACACCAGGAGGAAACACCAGGAGGGAACACCAGGTGGAAACACCAGGTGGAAACACCAGGTGGGAACACCATGAGGTAACACCAGGAGGAAACACCAGGAGGGAACACCAGGAGGTAACACCAGGAGGAAACACCAGGAGGAAACACCAGGAGGTAACACCAGGAGGAAACACCAGGAGGAAACACCAGGAGGAAACACCAGGAGGAAACACCAGGAGGAAACACCAGGAGGAAACACCAGGAGGAAACACCAGGAGGAAACACCAGGAGGGAACACCAGGTGGAAACACCAGGAGGAAACACCAGGAGGAAACACCAGGAGGGAACACCAGGTGGAAACACCAGGAGGAAACACCAGGAGGGAACACCAGGAGGGAACACCAGGTGGAAACACCAGGAGGGAACACCAGGAGGGAACACCACGAGGTAACACCAGGAGGAAACACCAAGAGGTAACACCAGGAGGCAACACCAGGAGGGAACACCAGGAGGTAACACCAGGAGGAAACACCAGGAGGGAACACCAGGTGGAAACACCAGGAGGAAACACCAGGAGGAAACACCAGGTGGAAACACCATGTGGGAACACCAGATGGTAACACCAGGAGGCTGAGTAGAGTAGAGCAGAGCACAGTAGAGCACAGTAGAGCAGAGTACAGTAGAGTAGAGTAGAGTACAGTAGAGCAGAGCACAGTAGAGCAGAGCACAGTAGAGTAGAGTAGGGTAGAGCAGAGTAGAGCAGAGTAGAGTACAGAACAGTCTCTACAGTCTCTACAGTCTCTAGAGACTATAGAGACTATAGAGACTATACAGGCTCTACAGGCTCTACAGTCTCTACAGTCTACAGTCTCTACAGTCTCTACAGTCTACAGTCTCTACAGTCTCTTCAGTCTCTTCAGTCTCTACAGTCTCTTCAGTCTCTTCAGTCTCTACAGTCTCTACAGTCTCTACAGTCACTACAGTCTCTACAGTCTCTACAGTCTCTACAGTCTACAGTCTCTACAGGCTCTACAGTCTCTACAGTCTCTTCAGTCTCTTCAGTCTCTACAGTCTCTACAGTCTCTACAGTCACTACAGTCTCTACAGTCTCTACAGTCTCTACAGTCTCTACAGTCTCTACAGTCTACAGTCTCTACAGGCTCTACAGTCTCTACAGTCTACAGCAGGGGTGCTCAATACGTCGATCGCGATCTACCAGTCGATCGCAAAGGTAGTATTGGTAGATCGCATTAAATAAATGAAAAAATTACACATTCTAAACGAATATATACAAAAAACTCCGGGCAAAGTGGAGATTTTTGAAAACTCCGTTAATGCATTTGTGTGTAGACAGAGATAACCGGAGTTTTGCGTTCTCGCACGCCACAGTACCCCTTAAATTCCTCTGATCACTGAAGCATGGATCATACTACCTTAAAAATTGTCCGCTGTGAGATGCTCGCAGCAGCGAACATCCTCCACATCAGAGAGCAGCAAAGTGATCGCGGGGACTCACGCTCGAAAACAACCAAACCAGGACTAAACCAGGACTAAACCAGGACTAAACCAGGGCTGAGGACGGGGTCAGTGCTTGTAAACATACGTCTTACTCTTTACTCTGAGTGTCTTCAATGACTGTAAAAGTGCCGTTACCGGCGTCTGCATCAAAGCTCCGCCCACTTCCGTGTTTTTCCCCAACGCAGGACAGGACGTAAGAGACGCACATGTTTGGAATGTTACGAATGTGATTGATAACGCAGATGTGTGGATGCAAATTATTTTATAAACTGAGGAGGGGAAATATTTGGATTTAAAAAACCAGGCATGGCACATGGACATGGCACCACAGTCAAATGACATCTGTGTTTTACTCAGTAATGTTTTACTGACACTTAGGTGACTGCACATGCGCAAACAACCGCGCTCAGTGCAGGAAAGCTAAACCACGACAAACTTGTCAGCGAGTTACCACCAATTTTCCGGACTATGCCTCCCTGGCCGATTCAATTCAGTGCAAGTCATCAGAGTAAACTCGGGTAATGACAAAAAATGTACATAGGTAATTGTGTTGTGTTGTGCTATATTGGCTCATGCGGTTTTGCATGTACATAAACATTCATTGTAGGTATAAAGAATATTTTTTGAAATAAATATATGATTTGCATTTTTGTAGTAGGTAGATCATTTTGACTTGATCCTTTTATAAGTAGCTCGCATGCTGAAAAAGTGTGAGCACCCCTGGTCTACAGTCTCTACAGTCTCTACAGGCTCTACGGTCTCTACAGTCTCTACAGTCTCTACAGTCTACAGGCTCTACAGTCTCTACAGTCTCTACAGTCTCTACAGTCTCTACAGTCTCTACAGTCTCTACAGTCTCTACAGTCTCTACAGGCTCTACAGGCTCTACAGTCTCTACAGTCTCTACAGTCTCTACAGTCTCTACAGTCTACAGTCTCTACAGTCTCTTCAGTCTCTTCAGTCTCTACAGTCACTACAGTCACTACAGTCACTACAGTCTCTACAGTCTCTACAGTCTACAGTCTCTACAGTCTCTTCAGTCTCTTCAGTCTCTACAGTCACTACAGTCTCTACAGTCTATAGTCTCTACAGTCTACAGTCTCTACAGTCTCTACAGGCTCTACGGTCTCTACAGTCTCTATAGTCTCTACAGTCTCTACAGTCTACAGTCTCTACAGTCTACAGTCTCTACAGTCTCTACAGTCTCTACAGTCTCTACAGTCTCTACAGTCTCTACAGTCTCTACAGTCTCTATAGTCTCTACAGTCTCTACAGGCTCTACAGGCTCTACAGTCTCTACAGTCTCTACAGTCTCTACAGTCTCTACAGTCTCTTCAGTCTCTTCAGTCTCTTCAGTCTCTACAGTCACTACAGTCACTACAGTCACTACAGTCACTACAGTCTCTACAGTCTCTACAGTCTCTACAGTCTACAGTCTCTACAGTCTCTTCAGTCTCTTCAGTCTCTACAGTCACTACAGTCACTACAGTCACTACAGTCACTACAGTCTCTACAGTCTCTACAGTCTACAGTCTCTACAGTCTCTTCAGTCTCTTCAGTCTCTACAGTCACTACAGTCTCTACAGTCTATAGTCTCTACAGTCTACAGTCTCTACAGTCTCTACAGTCTCTAGAGCAGAGTAGAGCAGAGTAGAGTACAGAACAGCAGAGTACAGTAGAGCAGAGTAATGTACACTAGCACTAGAGTAGAGCACACTAGAATAGAGCAGAGTACAATACAGTACAGTAGAGTAGTGTATAGTAAAGAGTACAGTACAGTAGAGCCGAGTACAGTAGAGTAAAGCAGAGTAGAGTACAGTACAGTACAGTAGAGTAGAGTACATTAGAGTACAGTAGAGTAGAGTAGCTAAACCTTACCTTAATAACTTTACCAGCTCCAAGTTTAAGTCGAAGTAGTTTATCTTTGTTCTGGTTTGTGTCAAACATCTGGAAACAAATAATTTACATATTATAGATCATTTACATATTATAGACCATTTACATATTATAGATCATTTAAATATTATAGATCATTTACAAATTATAGATCATTTACATATTATAGATCATTTAAATATTATGGATCATTTACATATTATAGACCATTTACATATTATAGATCATTTAAATATTATGGATCATTTACATATTATAGACCATTTACATATTATAGATCATTTAAATATTATAGATCATTTAAATATTATAGATCATTTACATACTGAATGTGTCTTATAGATAGAGAGATCATTTTAAATATGTATCTTTTACACAACATTGTTTCTCCTCAGAGCCCTGCAGCTGTGTTTAGCCCCACCCTTGCCATGATCATGGACTGTATAATAAACACAGATGCTTTGGTTACCTGTCCGATGCTGTGGTCCTCCAGGAGCCAGCCGCTGTAGAGCACCTCCACAGAGGCCCCTGGCTCCACGCCCTGCCCCTCCCCCAGACACAGGTCCTGGGACACCACGGCCTCCAGAGACGCACAACTGTTGGCTTTGGCCACACACACCTGCACAGGACACAGCCTCATGTGTCACCCACTCATGGTTGTGTGGTTGTGTGTTTGCGGCTCACCTCTTTACAGAAGTCGGAGGAAGCCTTCTCAGACTCGAACAGTAAAGACCAGTTCTGTCTCTGGTCGTCGTAGAAAGTGCAGTAGTTATTGGGCTGAACCTGTGAGAGACACACCCTTTATTCATACACAATAGTACCACACAATAGTACCACACAATAGTAACACACGATGCAAATATACAGCATGCTCTGGTCCACAGTCACTATCACTTGTCTCTCTGTGTCTCTCTCCCTGTCTGTCTGTCTCGCATCACTAATAAAGACTAAACACATGTTTTAGCTTTAGTCCTCGTCAGTGGATTCTCAAACTTGAAACTAAGATAAGATATTCCTGTACAGGTCCCACAGTGGGAAATGTCAGTGTCATTCAGTGTCTGTACAGTCTATGAGGTCATAGTTAGTGTCTGAACAGTCTATGAGGTCATAGTTAGTGTCTGAACAGTCTATGAGGTCATAGTTAAGTGTCTGAACAGTCTATGAGGTCATAGTTAGTGTCTGAACAGTCTATGAGGTCATAGTTAGTGTCTGAACAGTCTATGAGGTCATAGTTAGTGTCTGAACAGTCTATGAGGTCATAGTTAGTGTCTGAACAGTCTATGAGGTCATAGTTAGTGTCTGAACAGTCTATGAGGTCATAGTTAGTGTCTGAACAGTCTATGAGGTCATAGTTAGTGTCTGAACAGTCTATGAGGTCATAGTTAGTGTCTGAACAGTCTATGAGGTCATAGTTAGTGTCTGAACAGTCTATGAGGTCATAGTTAGTGTCTGAACAGTCTATGAGGTCAAAGTTAGTGTCTGAACAGTCTATGAGGTCATAGTTAAGTGTCTGAACAGTCTATGAGGTCATAGTTAGTGTCTGAACAGTCTATGAGGTCATAGTTAGTGTCTGAACAGTCTATGAGGTCATAGTTAGTGTCTGAACAGTCTATGAGGTCATAGTTAGTGTCTGAACAGTCTATGAGGTCATAGTTAGTGTCTGAACAGTCTATGAGGTCATAGTTAGTGTTTGAACAGTCTATGAGGTCATAGTTAGTGTCTGAACAGTCTATGAGGTCATAGTTAGTGTCTGAACAGTCTATGAGGTCATAGTTAGTGTCTGAACAGTCTATGAGGTCATAGTTAGTGTCTGAACAGTCTATGAGGTCATAGTTAGTGTCTGAACAGTCTATGAGGTCATAGTTAGTGTCTGAACAGTCTATGAGGTCAAAGTTAGTGTCTGAACAGTCTATGAGGTCATAGTTAAGTGTCTGAACAGTCTATGAGGTCATAGTTAGTGTCTGAACAGTCTATGAGGTCATAGTTAGTGTCTGAACAGTCTATGAGGTCATAGTTAGTGTCTGAACAGTCTATGAGGTCATAGTTAGTGTCTGAACAGTCTATGAGGTCATAGTTAGTGTCTGAACAGTCTATGAGGTCATAGTTAGTGTCTGAACAGTCTATGAGGTCATAGTTAGTGTCTGAACAGTCTATGAGGTCATAGTTAAGTGTCTGAACAGTCTATGAGGTCATAGTTAGTGTCTGAACAGTCTATGAGGTCATAGTTAGTGTCTGAACAGTCTATGAGGTCATAGTTAGTGTCTGAACAGTCTATGAGGTCATAGTTAGTGTCTGAACAGTCTATGAGGTCATAGTTAGTGTCTGAACAGTCTATGAGGTCATAGTTAGTGTCTGAACAGTCTATGAGGTCATAGTTAGTGTCTGAACAGTCTATGAGGTCATAGTTAGTGTATGAACAGTCTATGAGGTCATAGTTAGTGTCTGAACAGTCTATGAGGTCATAGTTAGTGTATGAACAGTCTATGAGGTCATAGTTAGTGTCTGAACAGTCTATGAGGTCATAGTTAGTGTCTGAACAGTCTATGAGGTCATAGTTAGTGTCTGAACAGTCTATGAGGTCATAGTTAGTGTCTGAACAGTCTATGAGGTCATAGTTAGTGTCTGAACAGTCTATTAGGTCATAGTTAGTGTCTGAACAGTCTATGAGGTCATAGTTAGTGTCTGAACAGTCTATGAGGTCATAGTTAGTGTCTGAACAGTCTATGAGGTCATAGTTAAGTGTCTGAACAGTCTATGAGGTCATAGTTAGTGTCTGAACAGTCTATGAGGTCATAGTTAGTGTCTGAACAGTCTATGAGGTCATAGTTAGTGTCTGAACAGTCTATGAGGTCATAGTTAGTGTCTGAACAGTCTATGAGGTCATAGTTAGTGTCTGAACAGTCTATGAGGTCATAGTTAGTGTCTGAACAGTCTATGAGGTCATAGTTAGTGTCTGAACAGTCTATGAGGTCATAGTTAGTGTCTGAACAGTCTATGAGGTCATAGTTAGTGTCTGAACAGTCTATGAGGTCATAGTTAGTGTATGAACAGTCTATGAGGTCATAGTTAGTGTCTGAACAGTCTATTTGTATTTGTATTTGTATTTATTTGATCTCCATTAGTTGTAACAAGTACATCTATTCTTCCTGGAGTCAGTCCAGCATGCTGGTCACAAAACATGTTTTACACCAGTTTTCACCAACAAGTGATACAATAAAAGACACCCCCCACCCCCACCCACACACACACACACACAACATACATTCTTACATACACACGCAACTGTATAAAGGACCTAGAAATATTCTGACAAAAAACAAAAAAAAGGAGATTAATCTGACTCTTAGCAGCAAAACATTTGGTCACATAACACAACTTTATAAAATCAACCAGTTACATGAAACAGATGTCTTTTCAGAAGAACTATGAGGTCATAGTTAAGTGTCTGAACAGTCTATGAGGTCATAGTTAGCGTCTGAACAGTCTATGAAGTCATAGTTAGCGTCTGAACAGTCTATGAGGTCATAGTTAGTGTCTGAACAGTCTATGAGGTCGTAGTTAGTGTCTGAACAGTCTATGAGGTCGTAGTTAGTGTCTGAGTCTGACAGAGTTTTATAAAACAGTGTTTATTCTTATGAATATTATTCTGTCAGAAAGAGCAGGGTGAAGGTTGAGGCTCGACACTTGATGGAGGTAAAACAACTACATGATGTGACATGGTAAAAAACCTTAAGCCAAACGTCTACAGAGTAAATCTATGTCCTTCCAATGATGTGGAGATGGCGGAGTCACAGGAGCCCGGGAGCAGGACCACATGTTTGGGGTACGCACCGTGAAAACAAAGCCTGTGTGTAGTTTGGTCGCTGACACTTGTTTTTGTTGACTCAGATACAGCAGCAGCTTGTACTGAAGACAAAAAACACAAATAGATTATTCTTAAAAGGTAAAGTGTGTAATCTACAGTAGGGATGTACCGATCCGATATTCAGTATCGGTATCGGGGGCCGATATGGGTATTTTGTAAGGATCGGATAATATAGGATTCGTTAAATATTTGCCGATTTACGTCAGTTTTCAGCAGCTCACGCTTTACGGCTGCCGTAAACTAAATACAATGTAAAACTAGGGCTGGGCAATAAAACGACAGATATATTGCGATAGACACGTGTTCGATATCAATAGAAAACGGAGTCGATAGAATGTTAGTTTAACATCAATCCGTAAGAAAAAACAGGACGAAAACACAGGAAGTAAAGCCGAGTCAGAGGCGCGCTGCATTCTGGGGGATGTAGGCAGAGGCTTCTCAACCTATCGCAGCCAAGCGTGAACTGCAAAACTTTCTTTGAAATGCAAAAACAACAACCGCACAATGCGTAGCGTCCTTGGATCTAAAGATTGTTTTTCAATGCCGTGTCGATGGTAATGCACGTCTGTGCGAGGCATGTGCGCTGTGGCAGAGGCAGTGGACACGGAGACCCAAGAGATCAGAGAGATCAGAGAGCGGCCCCACTGAGCCGTCATGGGGACACAAAACAGGAGATAAACCAGGACTAAACCAGGATTTCACCAGAGCTAACTATGGGGGGAGACTGCTTGTGAACATATTCCTCGAGCCTCATTCCCCGTGACTGTAAACAAGGGCTGCTAACGTGTGTTAGCGACACGACAAACGTACTTATTCAGGTAAAAATGCAAAATCTTTAATGCTTTGAAAATATTAGAGAAAAAAATTATCGGATCGGTATCGGCAAAACAATATTTAAGAATATCGGAATTGGATCGGATTACAAAAAATCTGGATCGGTACATCCCTAATCTACAGCAGTGAGCACCTCTCTGGTCGTGTGGCTCCCCAGCACCGCAGCCCCGAGTTTGCCCTGACTCACATACCGGCCGTTCATGCTGTAGGGGGAACATGAACACATAAACACATGAACACATGATCAAACCAGACAGTCGTCAATACTGTTGTAGGACAATGGTCATTCACAGTCACATGTCCCCGATCAGTACCCCATCTGTACTGTACCCATCAGTACCCCATCTGTACCCATCTGTACTGTACCCATCTGTACCCATCTCTACTGCACCCATCTGTACTGTACCCATCTCTACTGCACCCATCTCTACTGCACCCATCTGTACTGTACCCATCTCTACTGCACCCATCTCTACTGCACCCATCTCTACTGCACCCATCTCTACTGCACCCATCTCTACTGCACCCATCTGTACTGTACCCATCTGTACTGCACCCATCTCTACTGCACCCATCTGTACTGCACCCATCTCTACTGCACCCATCTGTACTGCACCCATCTCTACTGCACCCATCTCTACTGCACCCATCTGTACTGTACCCATCTGTACTGCACCCATCTCTACTGCACCCATCTCTACTGCACCCATCTGTACCCATCTGTACTGTACCCATCAGTACCCCATCTGTACCCATCTGTACTGTACCCATCAGTACCCCATCTGTACCCATCTCTACTGCACCCATCTCTACTGCACCCATCTGTACTGCACCCATCTGTACCCATCTGTACTGTACCCATCAGTACCCCATCTGTACCCATCTGTACTGTACCCATCAGTACCCATCTCTACTGCACCCATCTGTACTGTACCCATCTGTACTGCACCCATCTCTACTGCACCCATCTGTACTGCACCCATCTGTACTGCACCCATCTGTACCCATCTGTACTGTACCCATCTGTACCCATCTCTACTGCACCCATCTGTACTGCACCCATCTCTACTGCACCCATCTGTACTGCACCCATCTGTACTGCACCCATCTGTACTGTACCCATCTGTACTGCACCCATCTCTACTGCACCCATCTGTACTGCACCCATCTGTACTGCACCCATCTGTACTGCACCCATCTGTACTGCACCCATCTCTACTGCACCCATCTGTACTGCACCCATCTCTACTGCACCCATCTGTACTGTACCCATGACCTGGAATAACAACAATAATACATTGTTTACACTACAGTCTCACTACACACACACAAGTCTCACCAAACACACACACACACCTCTCTGTTTCACTACACACACACTACAGTCTCACTACCCACCACACTAACCCTAACCCTTCTAAGGAATAAATGTAAATTTAAAATAGAGTTACAGTTACTATTTACAATATCCAAGTGCACATGGTGCACACAATGTAAGGTGACAGCAGTACAGTGAAGTAAAGTGACGTATGATGGGCAGTAAAGTGACTTTATAAAGGGCGGGGGGACAGCTTAAGAAGTGTTCAAGAGTCCAACAGCAGAGGGGAAGAAACTGTTCTTGTGGCGGGAGGTTCTAGTCCTGATGGACCGCAGCCTCCTGCCTGAGGGGAGTGGTTGGAATAGTCCATGTGCAGGTGAGAGGGGAGTGGTTGGAATAGTCCATGTGCAGGTGAGAGGGGAGTGGTTGGAATAGTCCATGTGCAGGTGAGAGGGGAGTGGTTGGAATAGTCCATGTGCAGGTGAGAGGGGAGTGGTTGGAATAGTCCATGTGCAGGTGAGAGGGGAGTGGTTGGAATAGTCCATGTGCAGGTGAGAGGGGAGTGGTTGGAATAGTCCATGTGCAGGTGAGAGGGGTCGGCTGTGATACGACCAGCCCGGCCTCGAGCTCGGGCGACGTACAGGTCCTGCAGCGATGGAAGGCTGCGGCCGATCACTTCCTCTGCAGAGCGCACAATGCACTGTAGTCTCTGTTTGTCCCTGACTGTGGCTCCAACGAACCACACGGTGATGGAGGAGGTGATGGAGGAGGTGATGGAGGAGGTGATGAGGAGGTGATGGAGGAGGTGATGGAGGAGGTGATGGAGGAGGTGATGGAGGAGGTGAGGGAGGAGGTGAGGGAGGAGGTGATGAGGAGGTGATGGAGGAGGTGATGGAGGAGGTTGTGGAGGAGGTGATGGAGGAGGTGATGGAGGAGGTGGTAGAGGAGGTGATGGAGGAGGTGGTAGAGGAGGTGATGGAGGAGGTGAGGGAGGAGGTGATGGAGGAGGTTGTGGAGGAGGTGATGGAGGAGGTGATGGAGGAGGTGGTAGAGGAGGTGATGGAGGAGGTGATGGAGGAGGTGAGGGAGGAGGTGATGGAGGAGGTGATGAGGACGTGATGGAGGAGGTGGTAGAGGAGGTGATGGAGGAGGTGATGGAGGAGGTGATGGAGGAGGTGATGGAGGAGGTGATGGAGGAGGTGAGGGAGGAGGTGATGGAGGAGGTGAGGGAGGAGGTGATGAGGAGGTGATGGAGGAGGTGATGGAGGAGGTTGTGGAGGAGGTGATGGAGGAGGTGATGGAGGAGGTGGTAGAGGAGGTGATGGAGGAGGTGATGGAGGAGGTGATGGAGGAGGTGATGAGGAGGTGATGGAGGAGGTGAGGGAGGAGGTGATGGAGGAGGTGATGAGGAGGTGATGAGGACGTGATGGAGGAGGTGGTAGAGGAGGTGATGGAGGAGGTGATGGAGGAGGTGGTGGAGGAGGTGATGGAGGAGGTGATGGAGGAGGTGATGGAGGAGGTGATGGAGGAGGTGATGGAGGAGGTGATGGAGGAGTTGATGGAGGAGGTGATGGAGGAGGTTATGGAGGAGGTGATGGAGGAGGTGATGGAGGAGGTGAGGGAGGAGGTGATGGAGCAGGTGATGGAGGAGGTGCTGGAGGAGGTGATGGAGGAGGTGATGGAGGAGGTGCTGGAGGAGGTGATGGAGGAGGTGAGGTGATGGAGGAGGTGATGGAGGAGGTGATGGAGGAGGTGATGGAGGAGGTGAAGGAGGAGGTGATGGAGGTGATGGTCCGGACCCAGAGACCCTTTTCTCTGGACCTCCGCGGTTTTTTTGTCCAAAAGTACATTATAACAATTATGTGTCAAATTTTCACCAAAAGTGATTTGTAAACAGGCAGGCGTGAGGGCGGCTATGTGGAGAGCGGGTCCTTCGGAGCAAAACTATACGGAGCTATCAAAATAACTTTAGCAGTGTCTGAATCCAAGTGAGAGTCAGAGACGTGAAAGAGACGGGAATGAGTGCCGTGTACGGAGCGGTGGACGCTCGCGTTCAGCTGCTCACACTGGCTGCGTATGAGCGGAGGAGGAGGAAGAGGATGATGAGGAGGAGGTGCAGTGTCTCCTGTGTGAGCGCGGAGAAGGAGGAGGAGCGAGACAGAGGTACACATTAAAAACATATTAAAAGCATTAGCAAACAGCATATGCCCTACTTTACTGCTCACTGTGTGCGCAGTGGGCATAAAAAGCATCTTGTGGTCAGAGTGTATGGAGGAGGAGGTCAGAGTGTGTGGAGGAGGAGGTCAGAGTGTGTGGAGGAGGAGGTCAGAGTGTATGGAGGAGGAGGAGGTCAGAGTGTATGGAGGAGGAAGAGGTCAGAGTGTATGGAGGAGGAGGAGGTCAGAGTGTATGGAGGAGGAGGTCAGAGTGTATGGAGGAGGAGGTCAGAGTGTGTGGAGGAGGAGGTCAGAGTGTATGGAGGAGGAGGTCAGAGTGTGTGGAGGAGGAGGTCAGAGTGTATGGAGGAGGAGGAGGTCAGAGTGTATGGAGGAGGAAGAGGTCAGAGTGTATGGAGGAGGAGGAGGTCAGAGTGTATGGAGGAGGAGGTCAGAGTGTATGGAGGAGGAGGTCAGAGTGTGTGGAGGAGGAGGTCAGAGTGTATGGAGGAGGAGGAGGTCAGAGTGTGTGGAGGAGGAGGTCAGAGTGTGTGGAGGAGGAGGTCAGAGTGTGTGGAGGAGGATGAGGTCAGAGTGTATGGAGGAGGAGGAGGAGGTCAGAGTGTGTGGAGGAGGAGGTCAGAGTGTATGGAGGAGGAGGTTAGAGTGAGTGGAGGAGGAGGTCAGAGTGTATGGAGGAGGAGGAGGTCAGAGTGTATGGAGGAGGAGGAGGAGGTCAGAGTGTATGGAGGAGGAGGAGGAGGTCAGAGTGTATGGAGGAGGAGGTCAGAGTGTGTGGAGGAGGAGGAGGAGGTCAGAGTGTGTGGAGGAGGAGGTCAGAGTGTGTGGAGGAGGAGGTCAGAATGTGTGGAGGAGGAGGAGGTCAGAGTGTGAGGAGGAGGAGGAGGAGGTCAGAGTGTGTGGAGGAGGAGGAGGTCAGAGTGTGTGGAGGAGGAGGAGGTCAGAGTGTGTGGAGGAGGAGGTCAGAGTGTGTGGAGGAGGAGGTCAGAGTGTGTGGAGGAGGAGGTCAGAGTGTGAGGAGGAGGAGGTCAGAGTGTGAGGAGGAGGAGGAGGTCAGAGTGTGTGGAGGAGGAGGAGGTCAGAGTGTGTGGAGGAGGAGGAGGTCAGAGTGTGTGGAGGAGGAGGAGGTCAGAGTGTGTGGAGGAGGAGGAGGAGGTCAGAGTGTGAGGAGGAGGAGGTCAGAGTGTGTGGAGGAGGAGGAGGAGGTCAGAATGTGTGGAGGAGGAGGTCAGAGTGTGAGGAGGAGGAGGAGGTCAGAGTGTGTGGAGGAGGAGGAGGTCAGAGTGTGTGGAGGAGGAGGAGGTCAGAGTGTGTGGAGGAGGAGGAGGAGGTCAGAGTGTGAGGAGGAGGAGGTCAGAGTGTGTGGAGGAGGAGGAGGTCAGAGTGTGTGGAGGAGGAGGAGGTCAGAGTGTGTGGAAGAGGAGGAGGTCAGAGTGTGTGGAAGAGGAGGAGGAGGTCAGAGTGTGTGGAAGAGGAGGAGGTCAGAATGTGTGGAGGAGGAGGTCAGAGTGTGAGGAGGAGGTCAGAGTGTGTGGAGGAGGAGGAGGTCAGAGTGTGTGGAGGAGGAGGAGGTCAGAGTGTGTGGAGGAGGAGGAGGAGGTCAGAGTGTGAGGAGGAGGAGGTCAGAGTGTGTGGACGAGGAGGAGGTCAGAGTGTGTGGAGGAGGAGGAGGTCAGAGTGTGTGGAGGAGGAGGAGGAGGTCAGAGTGTGAGGAGGAGGAGGTCAGAGTGTGTGGAGGAGGAGGAGGTCAGAGTGTGTGGAGGAGGAGGAGGTCAGAGTGTGTGGAGGAGGAGGAGGTCAGAGTGTGTGGAGGAGGAGGAGGTCAGAGTGTGTGGAGGAGGAGGAGGAGGTCAGAGTGTGAGGAGGAGGAGGTCAGAGTGTGTGGAGGAGGAGGAGGTCAGAGTGTGTGGAGGAGGAGGAGGTCAGAGTGTGTGGAAGAGGAGGAGGTCAGAGTGTGTGGAGGAGGAGGAGGAGGAGGTCAGAGCGTGAGGAGGAGGAGGTCAGAGTGTGTGGAGGAGGAGGTCACAGTGTGTGGAGGAGGAGGTCAGAGTGTGTGGAAGAGGAGGAGGTCAGAGTGTGAGGAGGAGGAGGTCAGAGTGTGGAGGAGGAGGTCAGAGTGTGAGGAGGAGGAGGAGGAGGTCAGAGTGTGAGGAGGAGGAGGACGTCAGAGTGTGTGGAGGAGGAGGTCAGAGTGTGAGGAGGAGGAGGTCAGAGTGTGAGGAGGAGGAGGAGGTCAGAGTGTGAGGAGGAGGAGGTCAGAGTGTGAGGAGGAGGAGGTCAGAGTGTGTGGAGGAGGAGGAGGTCAGAGTGTGAGGAGGAGGAGGAGGTCAGAGTGTGTGGAGGAGGAGGTCAGAGTGTGTGGAGGAGGAGGAGGAGGTCAGAGTGTGTGGAGGAGGAGGTCAGAGTGTGAGGAGGAGGAGGTCAGAGTGTGAGGAGGAGGAGGAGGTCAGAGTGTGAGGAGGAGGAGGTCAGAGTGTGAGGAGGAGGAGGTCAGAGTGTGTGGAGGAGGAGGAGGTCAGAGTGTGAGGAGGAGGAGGAGGTCAGAGTGTGTGGAGGAGGAGGTCAGAGTGTGTGGAGGAGGAGGAGGAGGTCAGAGTGTGAGGAGGAGGAGGAGGTCAGAGTGTGTGGAGGAGGAGGAGGAGGTCAGAGTGTGTGGAGGAGGAGGAGGAGGTCAGAGTGTGTGGAGGAGGAGGAGGAGGTCAGAGTGTGAGGCAATCGAGTCATGCCAAGGGCTGTCAATCATCAGCGCTGATGCTCGCAGCTGCTCATGCTCAGTTGTTTGTTTTCACGGAGCCTCAGAATCAAGTCTCTATTTATATATGAACCTATATCCATAATCATTTATATATGAACCTATATCCATAATCATTTATAAACTGAACCTATATCCATAATCATTTATATATGAACCTATATCCATAATCATTTATATATGAACCTATATCCATAATCATTTATATATGAACCTATATCCATAATCATTTATAACTGAACCTATATCCATAATCATTTATATATGAACCTATATCCATAATCATTTATAAATGAACCTATATCCATAATCATTTATATATGAACCTATATCCATAATCATTTATATATGAACCTATATCCATAATCATTTATATATGAACCTATATCCATAATCATTTATATATGAACCTATATCCATAATCATTTATATATGAACCTATATCCATAATCATTTATATATGAACCTATATCCATAATCATTTATATACTGAACCTATATCCATAATCATTTATATATGAACCTATATCCATAATCATTTATATACTGAACCTATATCCATAATCATTTATATATGAACCTATATCCATAATCATTTATATATGAACCTATATCCATAATCATTTATAAACTGAACCTATATCCATAATCATTTATATATGAACCTATATCCATAATCATTTATATATGAACCTATATCCATAATCATTTATATATGAACCTATATCCATAATCATTTATATATGAACCTATATCCATAATCATTTATATATGAACCTATATCCATAATCATTTATATATGAACCTATATCCATAATCATTTATATACTGAACCTATATCCATAATCATTTATATATGAACCTATATCCATAATCATTTATATACTGAACCTATATCCATAATCATTTATATATGAACCTATATCCATAATCATTTATATATGAACCTATATCCATAATCATTTATATATGAACCTATATCCATAATCATTTATATACTGAACCTATATCCATAATCATTTATATATGAACCTATATCCATAATCATTTATATACTGAACCTATATCCATAATCATTTATATACTGAACCTATATCCATAATCATTTATATACTGAACCTATATCCATAATCATTTATATATGAACCTATATCCATAATCATTTATATATGAACCTATATCCATAATCATTTATATATGAACCTATATCCCATAATCATTTATATATGAACCTATATCCATAATCATTTATATATTAACCTATATCCATAATCATTTATATATGAACCTATATCCATAATCATTTATATATGAACCTGTATCCATAATCATTTCTATATGAACCTGTATCCATAATCATTTCTATATGAACCTATATCCATAATCATTTATATATTAACCTATATCCATAATCATTTATATATGAACCTATATCCATAATCATTTATATATGAACCTATATCCATAATCATTTATATATGAACCTATATCCATAATCATTTATATATGAACCTATATCCATAATCATTTATATACTGAACCTATATCCATAATCATTTATATATGAACCTATATCCATAATCATTTATATATGAACCTATATCCATAATCATTTATATATGAACCTATATCCATAATCATTTATATACTGAACCTATATCCATAATCATTTTATATACTGAACCTATATCCATAATCATTTATATACTGAACCTATATCCATAATCATTTATAAACTGAACCTATATCCATAATCATTTATATACTGAACCTATATCCATAATCATTTATATATGAACCTATATCCATAATCATTTATATACTGAACCTATATCCATAATCATTTATATACTGAACCTATATCCATAATCATTTATATACTGAACCTATATCCATAATCATTTATATACTGAACCTATATCCATAATCATTTATAAACTGAACCTATATCCATAATCATTTATATATGAACCTATATCCATAATCATTTATAAACTGAACATATATCCATAATCATTTATAAACTGAACATATATCCATAATCATTTATATACTGAACCTATATCCATAATCATTTATAAACTGAACCTATATCCATAATCATTTATATACTGAACCTATATCCATAATCATTTATAAACTGAACATATATCCATAATCATTTATATACTGAACCTATATCCATAATCATTTATATACTGAATCTATATCCATAATCATTTATATACTGAACCTATATCCATAATCATTTATAAACTGAACCTATATCCATAATCATTTATAAACTGAACCTATATCCATAATCATTTATAAACTGAACCTATATCCATAATCATTTATAAACTGAACCTATATCCATAATCATTTATAAACTGAACCTATATCCATAATCATTTATAAACTGAACCTATATCCATAATCAGATCCTCTGCAGATGTGTCCTATAATGTGCAATTCATGATAATAGCTTGTTCCGGGTTTTCCGCAATCGCTTTTTTTGTGCATACAAACTTTTTTTTTTTCATTAAAACCGTAACAAATAATTCTGAAAACCTCCGTGCATGTGTATTAATAATGTGTTCTCTGATTAACATTTAAAAGTGTTACGGAAACGTAGGCCAATCAGAAAGGAAATCAAGCACCTCTCTGTCTCTGACAAACTCCAATCACTTTAATGTTATGTGTGAATTATATACACCTATATTTAGAATTTTTTTTCAAATTGTTCTTACTAGTATAGTCGTCGTTGTTTAAGGTTTACAAATCATTTCATATGAAAGAAAAAGCTTGAATGGATTTCTTTGACATAAAATATTTGTACGATGTCCGGACCCTGATCTATAGAACTGATCAAGTAAGTGGACCTCGCGCCGATTTAATTGGGGACCCCTGTTATAAGGGCTGCTCCTCCAGCAGCCCCTCCCTCCCCTGAAACTCCAGGAGTCTCTGCCTCAACCCCCTCCCCTACCTGTTCTCTGAGCAAGGACAGGTGTGTTGGAGCTGCCTCGGACTCTGCCCAGCTGCCTCCACTCTTCAATCAAGCGGATACAAGTACAGTGCTAGGCAAAAGTATTCGGCCCCCTTGAACCTTTCGCCACATTTCAGGCTTCAAACATAAAGATATAAAATTTCAATTTTTTGTCATCAATCAACAACAAGTGGGACACAATCGTGAAGTGGAACAAAATTTATTGGATAATTTAAACTTTTTTAACAAATAAAAAACTGAAAAGTGGGGCGTGCAATATTATTCGGCCCCTTTACTTTCAGTGCAGCAAACTCAGTCCAGAATGTTGTCCTAAATGACTGATGACGATAAATAGAATGCACCTGTGTGTAATCAAGTCTCCGTATAAATGCACCTGCTCTTTGATAGTCTCAGGGTTCTGTTTAAAGCACAGAGAGAACCATGAAGACAAAGGAACACACCAGGCAGGTCCGAGATACTGTTGTGGAGAAGTTTAAAGCCGGATTTGGATACAAAAAGATTTCCCAAGCTTTAAACATCTCAAGGAGCACTGTGCAAGTAATTATATTGAAATGAAAGGAGTATCAGACCACTGCAAATCTACCAAGACCCGGCCATCCCTCCAAACTTTCATCTCAAACAAGGAGAAGACTGATCAGAGATGCAGCCAAGAGGCCCATGATCACTCTGGATGAACTGCAGATAACTACAGCTGAGGTGGGAGAGTCTGTCCATAGGACAACAATCAGTCGTGCACTGCACAAATCTGGCCTTTATGGAAGAGTGGCAAGAAGAAAGCCATTTCTCAAAGATATCCATAAAAAGTCTCGTTTAAAGTTTGCCATAAGCCACCTGGGAGACACACCAAACATGTGGAAGAAGGTGCTCTGGTCAGATGAAACCAAAATCGAACTTTTTGGCCACAATGCAAAACGATATGTTTGGCGTAAAAGCAACACAGCTCATCACCCTGAACACACCATCCCCACTGTCAAACATGGTGGTGGCAGCATCATGCTTTGGGCCTGCTTTTCTTCAGCAGGGACAGGGAAGATGGCTAAAATTGATGGGAAGATGGATGGAGCCAAATACAGGACCATTCTGGAAGAAAACCTGTTGGAGTCTGCAAAAGACCTGAGACTGGGACGGAGATTTATCTTCCAACAGGACAATGATCCAAAACATAAAGCCAAATCTACAATGGAATGGTTCACAAATAGACGTATCCAGGTGTTAGAATGGCCAAGTCAAAGTCCAGACCTGAATCCAATCGAGAATCTGTGGAAAGAGCTGAAGACTGCTGTTCACAAACGCTCTCCATCCAACCTCACTGAGCTCCAGCTGTTTTGCAAGGAAGAATGGGCAAGAATTCCAGTCTCTGGATGTGCAAAACTGATACATACCCCAAGCGACTTGCAGCTGTAACTGCAGCAAAAGGTGGCGCTACAAAGTATTAGCGCAAGGGGGCCGAATAATATTGCACGCCCCACTTTTTTTATTTGTTAAAAACGTTTAAATTATCCAATAAATGTCGTTCCACTTCAAGATTGTGTCCCACTTGTTGTTGATTCTTGACAAAAAATTACATTTTTATATCTTTATGTTTGAAGCCTGAAATGTGGCGAAATGTTGAGAGGTTCAAGGGGGCCGAATACTTTCGCAAGGCACTATACCTCTGAAGCCAGCTCCTCAGTGCCAGATTGTAGTCTCAGTTGCAGTGCGTCTAGCCTACTTACCTCGTAACTCAGTGACGTTATATTTTTACCTACCTGATCTTGTTTCGTTTTTGCTGCAGATCTCCGCTCTGCCACGCCCGGCCCTACTCCTGATCCTGTTCTGGTTCCCACCTGTGCCTTGTGATTTATTTTTGTATTTTTGCTCGAGTAAAGATTTTGTTTCACCACCCTGGTCTGCATCTGGGTTCTTTGCCACACGTTACAGTACGATCTGGCCAAGAATGAACCCAGCAGACTCGAGCCCACTCAACCAGACCGTCACTCCTCAAATGTCTCTTTTGGAGCAGCGCGACAACACACTAAAGGCCCTGATGGAGCATATTAAGGAATTTTCTGTTAGCCTCGCAAGCCTACGTACTCAAGTTATTAATGCCCATTCCGATGGCTGTTCAGCTCAGTCTCCTGGCTCGTCCCATGCCCAGCCTCTCCCAACAAGAGAGGTGTTTGTTCCACCTCCAGCACCATACAATGGGGACCTGGGATCCTGTAAGTCTTTTTTAACCCAATTCTCTTTGATTTTTGAACAACAACCTTTGAGTTATTCGGCTTTTACCCCTCTCTGTGGCTCCACTATTTTCTCTAAGTTGGACTTGCGCAACGCTTACCATCTTGTGCGCATCAGAGAGGGGGATGAGTGGAAGACTGCTTTTAATACGCCACTCGGCCATTTTGAATATCTTGTCATGCCATTCGGTCTCACAAATGCACCTGCCATTTTCCAAGGCTTGGTTAACGATGTCCTAAGGGATATGATTGGAAGTTATGTTTTTGTGTACATTGATGATACAGTATTTTGATTTTTTCTAAGGACCTTGAGACCCACAAGATCCACGTCCGTAAGGTGCTCCAAAGACTTTTGGAGAACAAGCTTTTTGTCAAGGCTGAAAAGTGTCAATTCCATGCTTCTTCTGTCTCATTTTTAGGGTTCATTATCGCTCAAGGCCAAGTTCAGATGGACCCTGAGAAGCTAACTGCAGTCCGGGAATGGCCAACCCCCGCCAGTCGTAAAGACGTGCAACGCTTCCTGGGATTTGCTCATTTCTACAGGAGGTTCATTCACAATTTCAGCCGCATTGCTGCCCCTCTGACTGCACTTACCTCTACTTCCACCCCTTTTTCATGGACATCTGAGGCCGAACCGGCATTCAAAGAGTTAACCCTTTAGGCGGCAGAGTTTTTTCAAGAAAATATACAATTTTGATTTCAAGATTTCAAAAGGCTATAACTTTAAAATGGTTTGAGATAAAGGCATACTGTAAATTAGAAATATCTTCAGTCTGAACCAAACTTTGGGATGGAAGTTGATTCATCATCTAATTTGCATATTGTGACATCATCAGGGTGGCGGCCATTTTGGAAAATGTTAATTATTGTATAAAGACTTCAAAAAGCTGTAGCTTGGGAGTTATTTGAGATCAGGGAATACTATCAACAGTAAATGTGAAATATATCTTTTGTATGAAATGAATTTGGGATAGAAATAAATTCCCTGATCCAGATTATAAGATAAGATAAGAATTCCTTTATTCGTCCCACAGTGGGGAAATTTCGATGTTGCATCGCACATATAGGACAGTAGTAAGAGCACACAGGGAGCACACACAATATATACACTAAATACAAATAAGTAGTAGCTATGTTTCTTAACTAACATAAGTAACTGTAGATGCTGAAAATGCTTCAATACCAGTCAAAAAATATATATGTAGTAGTGCAGTTATATACTGTACAGTTAAATAGTGCAGGATAAAAAGTATAGTGACAAGTCTCATCCCTCATCCAGGGATGAGTCCGAACCAGGGCGCTGCTGAACACATGGAGGGGAGCGGGGGTGTTGATTCTCAGCTCCGGGCAACCCACGCTGTGTGCTCGGGGACGCTGGAGCGGCGTGAGGAGCAGGCTCGGGTCGCTGCTGCTGACCCGGTGGAGGTAAGCGGTGGTGATGCACTGGGGTCAGAGAAGGGGAATGACCACTCTTTCGTCTGAGGACAGCTTCCTTTAAGAGCGTTTTTCTCGCAGTGGACTTAGATCCACGAACGGCAGAGTACGCTGCAGAGTCCAGGGGTTCTGCTGAGGGGGCTGGGATGTCAGTGGAGAGGGCTGCATAGCGGTTTGACAGGCTTAGGACATGGGCCACGGCGCTGGATGGCTCCTCGCAGTTCGCGGGTTCCTCATTCGGAACCGGGCGCTTAGGTGTAGAACAAGAGGGTCCAGAGCTGACAGACCTCTCCCACACGACAGTGTCACAGTATGCAGCGCTCAGTGACATAAGTTGTGAGTGCTGCCCGCCAGCGACATCAAAAAGTTTGGACACGAGTGACTGTTTATCCTGCAGCTCTGCAGTGAGGCGAAGGACTTCTTTACGGAGGTCTGCAATAGTGGCACGGTCCCTCTCACGAAACTCCAATGTGAGGCGACTAATGTCTTTTATAGGGTTTGTGGTTATTGCAGTGTCGCTTTCCATGTCTGTGTAGGTTTAATAAAAGCTCATGACGTGGTGCCCTTGTGGTAGCCTCCGAGCTATCACGCTCATCATTGGACTCTACTCTACTATGAGTCCAGTCCAGTTTGTGGTTAAGATGAACACCCAGGTACTTGTAAGTAGAGATGCACCGATCCAGATTTTTTACTACCGATACCGATACCAGAGCTATGGGTTTCTGCCGATACCGATATTGACCGATACCGGAAATGATCATGCTAAAATGTATTTAATAATTGAACTCTTTGTTTAAGTAACTGTAAAAGCAGTGGATGAACTAAAGCGCTAAACTTTCCAGATAAAAATGGATTCAACATAAATGTGCAATACTGCAACTATAAAGAGCTGCTCAATGTTCACATTAAACATTCCAACTCTGTATTAGACCTTATACATTTACTGAATATAAATGTACTTATATTAACTGTGTTTGAATAAAAAAACACTTAGAACAAAACACGCTGCATGAAAATGTAAATAAATAATAGTACCGTAGCTTTAAGTGGATTTCAGATATGTATTTGGCGACGGCATGGACCTGGGTTCAAAATGGTCTATGGGGCTGCGAGCCCATGATGAACTCCAACACTTTGGGGTTGTTGCTGAAAAGCTTTTTGTGACGCTGCGTCAGTGTCATCTGTGTCTCGTTTTCACGTAATCTCCTTTCGATGCAAAAACTCCCCGTGCTGTTTCTCGTGGTGCTTAGTCGTGTTGTATTTCTCTGGTTTACCGCCGCGAGAACAACGCTCTTTCCTGCTCCATGCTGTGTTGTTGTTGTTGTAGAGCGCCACGAGGAAGTGACGTGTACGTGAGATCTGATTACTTATTATCTGATCTTAAATTACTTTTAATTAATTCATTTTATACGTATATGTACATTATGCACAATGTATTTTAAGACATTGTGCGGTACCTGGTATGTATTAAAAAAAATATATAATTTTTAAAAAAAAAAGAAAAGAAAATGGATCGGCAGCACAGCGCCTCTCTCTACGCAGATATCCGATCCAGTATTTTTTCTGGTATCGGCGTTGATATCGATACCAGTATCGGATCGGTGCATCCCTACTTGTAAGAGTCCACTCTCTCGATGTCCTTTCCCTGGATGTTCACTGGAGCTGGAGCGGCAGAGTGACGTCTGCGGAAATCCACCACCATCTCCTTGGTCTTCCCTGCGTTGATGAGGAGGTGGTTCATCTCCTTGGTCTTCCCTGCGTTGATGAGGAGGTGGTTCATCTCCTTGGTCTTCCCTGCGTTGATGAGGAGGTGGTTCATCTCCTTGGTCTTCCCCGTGTTGATGAGGAGGTGGTTCATCTCCGTGGTCTTCCTCACGTTGATGAGGAGGTGGTTCATCTCCTTGGTCTTCCCTGCGTTGATGAGGAGGTGGTTCCTCTCCTTGGTCTTCCTCACGTTGATGAGGAGGGGGTTCATCTCCTTGGTCTTCCTCGCGTTGATGAGGAGGTGGTTCCTCTGACACCAGTCCACAAAGTCCTGTATAACTCCTCTGTACTCTGTGTCATCGTCCTCGGAGCTGAGTCCGATGATGGCAGAGTCGTCAGAGAACTTCTGTAGAACACAACCGTCCGTGTTGTGTCTGAAGTCCGCAGTGTAGAGGGTGAAGAGGAACGGCGCGAGGACAGTTCCCTGGGGGGCTCCCACACTGCAGGTCAGGACCTCCGACACAAAATCCCTGGTTCTCACAAACTGGGGTCTGTCTGTGAGGTAGTCCAGGATCCACTGGGACAGGTCGTAGTCCACTCCGGCTGTTTCCAGCTTGTCCCTGAGAAGCCTCGGCTGGATGGTGTTGAAGGCACTGGAGAAATCAAAGAAGAGGATCCTCACAGTGGAGCCGGGTTTCTCCAGGTGGGACAGGGAGCGATGGAGGAGGGAGATGATGGCGTCCTCGACTCCGATGCCCGGCCTGTAGGCGAACTGCAGCGGGTCCATCGCTGGGCTCAGAGTGGAACGGAGATGTCCCAGGACCAGTCTCTCCAGTGTCTTCATGCAGTGGGATGTTAGAGCCACTGGCCTGAAGTCGCTGAGGTCTTTGGCCCGTGGTTTCTTGGGCACCGGTACCACACAGGAGGTCTTCCAGAGCTATGGTACCGCCCTCAGCTTGAGGCTCAGGTTGGAGACGCGCTCCATCACTCCACAGAGTTTGTCTGCACAGGAGCGAAGGAGCCTGGAGCTGATGTTATCTGGTCCTGGTGCCTTTCTGGTCTTTATCCTCCTCATCTCCGTCCTCACCTGAGCAGCGGTGACTGACAGGGGGGTGCAGGGGGGCTGGGTGGAGTGGGTGCTGAGTAGGGAGGACGGGGGCTCAGTGGTGGTGGGGGGAGTGTCTCTGGGAGGGCTGGTGGGGCCGTGGGAGGAAGACTGTGGTGGCATGACAGATATTATAGATAATGTTTTAGCACTGGTTCGCGGCCATATGGAATTGTGTTATTTTCAAAGACCTTCAGTGATCAAGACAGCACTCTTCATAGTTTAACGTCATAAAATTTGGAGATTGGTATCAATATTTCCCTTTCAAAGAAGTGGTGGGCTTACTATTTTTCTCAGTGTAAATGAGGCTCCAGGATTTATCATTTAGAATCGGAGAGATGAAATGAAAGGTCAGATCGTCTGAACAAGAAACAACAGGCTCTTCAACACTATTATTTTCTCTCAAGAACTGTCTTCATCCTCATCATTGCTGTTGGTAAAGGCAGTGAATGCGATTAGCGATGCGTTTTTTTCCTGCGGCTCCCACGCAACTTCTCCCGCGTCTCCCCCGTGTTCCCCGTGGATGTTTACCCCCACTACTTTCTCCCACATGCCCGGTGTTATGATGCCCCTGTCCCCTCCACCACGGACCCTGCTTGGCGTTCACAGAATGCTTCTACCGCGGCCACACGGAGGACAAGCAGCCGCTGTACTGGGGCTGATAGTGGACTATGGAGCGCGGTCTCCTCGTCACCAATAATGACCGTGTCTGCTTCACTGGACACCTGCGTGTCTTCCTCCTCTGATTCTGAGTGAGCCAGTACCAGACCAAGTACTTCTCTGGTACTGAAGACCTCGTGAGTAAAATAAAAAACACTCTTTCCCTCTGCTCTGCTCTCGCTCCTCTCAGCTCTACCGCTGCTGCTTCGCCTCCGCGCTGCTGCGCCGCAGGTGTTTTACGAACTCAATTTACTCAAAAACTTTCAATATAACTACACCCACAAATGCTGCTCATATTACAGGCACACATGTCCACTAACCCCTGGTGAAAAGTATTAACAAGATTCTGCACCACATTTTTAGATACAGCCTGTTTAAGTGAGCAGTGTTGCTTGTCGAATTATTGCGACTTTGGCGCTTAAAGGGTTAAAGCATCGCTTCACCTCTGCCCCTGTACTCATCCAGCCCGATCCTGAGTTACAGTTTGTGGTGGAAGTTGACGCCTCTGATTCGGGGGTCGGTGCCGTGCTCTCTCAACGGTCTCCTACCGATCATAAGTTGCACCCTTGTGCTTATTTTTCTCGCAAGCTTTCATCCGCAGAGAGAAACTATGACATCGGCAACCGTGAGCTCCTGGCTATCAAACTCGCTCTGGAAGAGTGGCGTCACTGGCTCGAGGGTGCAGTTCATCCCTTCGTTGTTTGGTCAGATCACAAGAACGTGACATACATCCAAACTGCCAAGCGTCTGAACTCCAGGCAAGCCAGGTGGGCCCTCTTTTTTGATCGTTTTGATTTTTCTCTGACTTTTCGCCCAGGTTCTAAGAATATGAAACCTGATGCCTTGTCTCGAGTTTTTTGTGCAGATTCCCCAACTCCGGTTTGTGACCCTATTCTGCCCCCCTCCCGCATTGTAGCATCTGTTACATGGGAAGTTGAGCCACAAGTCCGACTTGCTCAACGGACTCATCCTGATCCTGGCACGGGCCCTCCTGGCTCTTTGTTCGTTCCTGACTCTGTCCATTTTTATCAACCACCCCTCTTTACAGACCAGGAGCAGGAGTTGGCAGTCCCCTCTATTCAGGATCACGTTCGTCGCTGCCACAGGACATGGACCAAGGCCCGGTTGGCCCTGGTGCGTGCCTCTGCCAGGTCTCAAACCCAAGCCAACAGTCGTCGGACCCCAGCCCCTGTGTATGTACCTGAACAGGAGGTGTGGCTGTCAATTAAGGACCTCCCGCTAAAGGTGGAATCGAAGAAGCTGTCTCCACGGTTCATTGGACCCTTCAAGGTGGAGGCAGTGGTTCTGCAGTGCGCCTTAAGCTGCCCTCATCCTTGAAGATTCACCCTACCTTCCATGTATCCTTGATCAAGCCTGTCCTGTCAAGTCCCTTGTTTCCTCCCTGTCCGCCCCCTCCTCCTCCCAGGTTGGTGGATGACCACCCTGCTTTCACGGTGCGCCAGATTCTGGATAGTCGGCGCCGGGGTTGGGGCCTGCAGTTCTTGGTGGACTGGGAGGGTTATGGGCCGGAGGAGTGGTGTTGGATTCCACGTCGGAAAATATCTTGGACCCTTCCCTGATTCGGGATTTCTATTTGCTCCACCCGGAGAAGCGTCCGCCTGGAGGGGTCCGTAGGGGGAGGGGTACTGTCAGGGCTGCTCCTCCAGCAGCCCCTCCCTCCCCTGATACTCCAGGAGTCTCTGCCTCAACCCCCTCCCCTACCTGTTCTCTGAGCAGGGACAGGTGTGTTGGAGCTGCCTCCACTCTTCAATCAAGCGGATACAAGTACCTCTGAAGCCAGCTCCTCAGTGCCAGATCGTAGTCTCAGTTGCAGAGCGTCTAGCCTACTTACCTCGTAACTCAGTGACGTTATATTTTTACCTACCTGATCTTGTTTCGTTTTTGCTGCAGATCTCCGCTCTGCCACGCCCGGCCCTACTCCTGATCCTGTTCTGGTTCCCACCTGTGCCTTGTGATTTATTTTTGTATTTTTGCTCGAGTAAAGATTTTGTTTCACCACCCTGGTCTGCATCTGGGTTCTTTGCCACACGTTAAATTCAATGTGTAGCATATGTTTAATAACGAGGAGTAGCCCCTTGAGATGCATCCTCTCATAAGCAAGCAGCCTCCACAAGCAGCAGCCAAATAAATGTACCCGATATGTACATTTTCTATTATTCAACAGACAAAACAAAATACACAATGACAGAAACACTCACTCACACAGACAAACACACACTGACACACACATACACACACACACACACACACACACACACACAGACACACACACACAGACAGACACACACACAGACAGACAGACACACAGACACACACACACACACACACAGACACTGACACACACACACAGACACAGACACAGACACACAGACACACACACAGACACACACACAGACACACACACAGACACACACACACACACAGACACACACACAGACACAGACACACACACACAGACACAGACACACACACACACACACAGACACACACACACACACACAGACACACACACATCTCAGAGGTCACCATCCTCAAACTGGGACAGTGAAAAGGAGAGTAGTGTTTAAAAGAAAGTTCAGCAGCATTACACAGGTGCATTACACAGGTGCCTTACACAGCTGCATTACACAGGTGCCTTACACAGCTGCAGTTACAAACATTACACAAATAATATAAAGCTTTAAAAAGCTTAATATTGAAAAGCATAATTTCCCAGTTCTTTTTTGACACGAGGAGTGAAAGAAAAGATGGTTTGTGCAACAGAGGTTAAAAGAAGAATTTAAATGGGTTAAACATTGGTTTAAATAAATAGGATCGTCCAGAAAATAACATTTATAAATGAAAACTAAATGAAAAATAAGCAGAGCAAGTCGGGGATGGTGCTATACTCACAGTCTGAAGGCCTGGACGGCTGAGGCCCTCAACACTGAGGGAGCTCCAGGAGCGGGGGCCACGTTCTGAGACGCTGAGGCTGCAACACAATCATCTTTAAATTCATGTGGTCATCAGGCACTAACAAGAGGGGTCAGGGGTCAGAGGTCAGAGTCAGGGTCACACTACAGTCACACTACAGACACACTACACATTACAGTCAAACTACAAACTACAGGCACACTACACACTACAGTCACACTGCACACTACAGTCACACTACAGTCACAATACACATTACAGTCACACTACACACTACAGTCACACTGCACACTGCACACTACAGTCACACTACAGTCACAATACACATTACAGTCACACTACACACTACAGTCACACTGCACACTGCACACTACAGTCACACTACAGTCACAATACACATTACAGTCACACTACACACTACAGTCACACTGCACACTACAGTCACAATACACACTGCACACTACAGTCACACTGCACACTACAGTCACACTACACACTACAGTCACACTGCACACTACAGTCACACTACACACTACAGTCACACTGCACACTACACATTACAGTCACACTGCACACTACAGTCACAATACACATTACAGTCACACTGCACACTGCACACTACAGTCACACTGCACACTACAGTCACACTACACACTACAGTCACACTGCACACTACAGTCACACTACAGTCACAATACACATTACAGTCACACTACACACTACAGTCACACTGCACACTACAGTCACACTGCACACTACAGTCACACTGCACACTGCAGTCACACTACAGTCACAATACACATTACAGTCACACTACACACTACAGTCACACTGCACACTAGTCACACTGCACACTACAGTCACACTACACACTACAGTCACACTACACACTATAGTCACACTGCACACTACAGTCACACTACACACTATAGTCACACTACAGTCACACTGCACACTACACATTACAGTCACAATACACACTACAGTCACACTGCACACTACAGTCACACTGCACACTACAGTCACACTGCACACTACAGTCACACTGCACACTACAGTCACAATACACAATACAGTCACACTACACATTACAGTCACACTGCACACTACAGTCACACTGCACACTACAGTCCCACTGCACATTACAGTCACACTACACACTATAGTCACACTGCACACTACAGTCACACTACACATTACAGTCACACTGCACACTACAGTCCCACTGCACACTACAGTCACAATACAGTCACACTACACATTACAGTCACACTGCACACTACAGTCACACTGCAGTCACAATACACATTACAGTCACACTACACACTACAGTCACACTGCACACTACAGTCCCACTGCACATTACAGTCACACTACACACTATAGTCACACTACACACTACAGTCACACTGCACACTACACATTACAGTCACACTGCACACTAGTCACACTACACATTACAGTCATACTGCACACTACAGTCACACTGCACACTACAGTCACACTGCACACTACAGTCACACTGCACACTACAGTCACAATACACACTACAGTCACACTACACATTACAGTCACACTGCACAGTACAGTCACACTGCACACTACAGTCACACTGCACACTACAGTCACACTGCACATTACAGTCACACTACACACTACAGTCACACTGCACACTACAGTCACAATACAATTACAGTCACACTGCACACTACAGTCACACTGCACATTACAGTCACACTACACACTACAGTCACACTGCACACTACAGTCACAATACACATTACAGTCACACTGCACACTACAGTCACAATACACATTACAGTCACACTACACACTACAGTCACACTGCACACTACAGGCACACTACACACTACAGTCACACTACACACTACAGTCTGGGTCAGGGTCAGAGGTCACCTGCGTTGGAAGCCTTGCGCGGCTGCCTGGGCGCGGTGTACTGAAAGGACTCATTGACCTGACTGTCCTCGTGGTCGAGTCCGAACAGTGACGCCAGTTTGGCCCTGAGGATTCAGATTCAAATTCATTTTATTAGCCATGTGCAATATAAAAACTACATTGGAATACATTCTCAAAAAGGTACTCTGTGTGCACCGACAGAATAAAGAGCACGATACAATGTAATATAAAATACACATACACTGAAAATAAAAAAAACAGTTGACACTGTGGCACCGAACAACAAAAACGATACAAGGGGTAAAAGCAGGAATTAAAGTGCTCTGTTTAGGCACCTAACAGCCTGTGGAAAGAAGCTGTTAGCGTAGCGAGATGTCTTGCATCTCAGCGACCGATATCTTCTGCCAGAGGGAAGAAGCTGGAACTTGGCTTTCCCAGGGTGGCCAGAAGAGTCATTGATGATTTTAAGAGCTCTGTTTAAAAGTCTGGATTTATAAAGAACCTCCAGAACAGGAAGCTCACAGCCCACGGTCCTCTTTGCAGAGCGGAGCACCTTGTTTAAAGCTCTCTTTTCTTTATCTGTGATGTTTCCAAACCACACAGACACAGAACCAACAAGTAAACTCTCAATGGTGCAGCCATAAAAGTTAAGCACAATCTTAGAGTTATTGGAAAATTCTCTAAGTTTACGCAGAAAGTAGAGACGCTGACGAGCTTTCTTAACGACTCGGTCAGTGTTTTTAACCCATTTCAGGTTAGACAGAGTTAAACCCAGAAACTTGCACTCCTCTACGATCTGCACCTGGGAGTTGTCGATTACGACAGGCAAATGAGAACTATTGCGACTGAAGTCGTGACCAGTTCACATGTTTTGGATGCGTTCAACTGGAGGTTGTTAGTTTGACTCCACTGAACCACATTTTGTATCTCTGCTCTATAAGAGGATTCATCAGTGTCACTGATGAGACCGATGATGGTGGTGTCATCAGCATATTTGATGATCAAGTTTGAGTCAGAGGAGGACACACAATCGTGAGTGTACAAAGTAAAAAGCAAAGGACTCAAAATACATCCCTGAGGAGAACCAGTGCTCACAGAAACAACATCAGAAAGACAGTCATTGATTGATCTGTCAGTTAAAAAGCTAAAAATCCATTTACACATGGCAACACTTAAACCCAGAGACATGAGCTTTTCAATCAGTTTACCTGGGACAAGGCAGTTAAAAGCAGAGCTATAATCGATGAAAAGCATTCTGGCCACAGATTTACTAGTGTCCAAGTGACTGTAGACAGAGTTCAGAGCAAAGGAGATGCATCCTCCACACTCCTGTTCTGTCTGTAGCAAACTGGAGCGGGTCAACACTCACAGGGTTCTGGCTCTTGATGAAGTCCAACACAAGCCGCTCAAAAGTTTTTATAAGAACAGATGTGAGAGCCACAGGGCGGTAGTCATTGAGACATGTCTTTGGAGACTTCTTAGGAACTGGAATAATGGTGGACCTTTTAAAGCACAGTTTCAGGACGCAGGGAGGAATGCAGTCCGGACCTACGGCTTTCCGAGCTGTGGTCCTGGACAAGACCCGCCGGACTTCATCCTGAGTCACTGTGAAGGCACCCTGACATTCGGGGAAGACAAAAGGCAGGGGATCAGCAGATTCAAAGCGGCAGTAAAAGTCGTTGAGCTCGTTTGGCAGAGTTTGGCCAGCAGCAATTTTCCCTGCACCTGGTTTCCAGGACGTGATAAGACTGATCCCCTTCCACATGCGTCGAGGGTCCTCTTCGCCAAAGAAGCCCTCTAACCTGTCGCCATAGGAACGCTTAGCAGCTTTTATAGAGCGTTCCACAGCGTAGCAGGACAGCTTGTAAGCACCCTCATCACCGGATTGAAACGCCAGTGTCCGCTCATTAATTCTTAATTTGACGTCAGTGTTCATCCAAGGTTTTTGGCTGGAGTGTTCTTTGATACACTCAAAGATGAGGCCTCCTTGGAGAAGCTCAATGATGCACTAATCCAAATGGAACAGAAGCTTGTCTCTTTCGAGGACAGAGCCAGACGTGACAACATCCGCATTTTGAATGTGAAGGAAGGAGAAGAACGTGGGGATGTATTATCCTACCTTTCATTGAATCTCCCCAAGTGGTTCCCTGGATTAGCTGCGGCTCCTCCTGAGCTCATGAGAGCTCACCGCCTTGGTCCACCTCGACAGAGCTCCTCTCCCAGGGCGATCATAGCCAAGTGTCTCCGCTTCACTGACAGAGATCGTATCCTGAATGAGGCGAGGAAAGCTCCTGTCCAGTTGTCTGGGAAATCTCTCCGCTTTGTTTCGGATTACAGCGACATCACATCCAAACGCAGACGTCCATGCTACCAGGTCATGTACCAGGCACGGAGTGCTGGCTTCAGTGCCTTCTTGTTGTATCCGGCAACTATCAAGCTGGAGAAGGGTGGCGAACAGCACGTCTTCGTGAACCCATCTGATGCGGAGGATTTCATATCCAAGCAGTGAGTCTCCTGTATCTTCCACCGGTAGACACTGCTTGTCAACAAACATGTCCGCGTGAGACTCTGTTTACTTCCGCACGTGATGACGTCACCTGCCGGTGACGCACTACGCTCACCACCGTCAATATTTCTGAATATTATTCTAACACCATCCGTTTATTTGTTATGTCAGCTAAACAGAAATGAGGTAGGCACATAGCCTAAAATACTACTGTGGTTACGTTTGGACCATATGGGTTGCTTTTTATTTTTTCCCCTAACTTTTTCTAATTTTTATTCTTATTTTTTGAGTTGGGGACTCCAGAATGGGGGTTTGGGGTTTGTTTGCCTGTTTGTTTTTCTATAAGGACACTATGATTTTCCCTGACAGATACCGCAATTTCAAGCTATTTTTGTTTTGTGTGCGTGTTATTGCTTTTGTATGCTTGAGTATGCATGTTTTTGTGTGTATGAATGTAAATGTTATTGACTGGTTGCTATTATATTCATTTTCTCTACACTATTTTTTTTTTCTATCTTCTTCTCTTTCATTAAGTATGGTTAATGGTATTAAAATTATTCATGTGAACATTAGGAGTCTGCTACCTAAAATCAATCTGCTTCGTGCCTGGGTAACCTACAATACGCCCTCTGTTATTACAATATCTGAAACATGGCTCTCTCCTGGCATTTCTGACAATGTCATTCATTTGGACAATTACACACTGTACAGAGCAGACAGAGATTCCAGAGAAGGAGGAGTCGCCACTTACATTTTATCTACTTTTCATTCACATCTGATTTCACCCACAGAGAAACCAACACAGTTTGAGGCTATATTTGTTAATTTAATTCTTCATGAAAACAAACATCTCATCATTGGCAATATCTACAGACCGCCTAACTCTCCATCCGACTCAGTAAAAAACATTCTCTCTACTCTCTCATCCCTAGGCAATAACAATGAACTCATCATATTAGGTGATTTTAACATAAACTGGTTGGCTCGCTCTTCTGCATCTGAGCGTCACTCTTTTAACAGCTCCAACCTATCTCAATTGTTAAATGATCCCACAAGAATCAGCCCCACATCCCAAACTCTTCTGGACTGGATTTTAGTGACTCGTCCTGATAGATTTGTTGAATCTGGTGTATTATCTGACTGTTTCAGTGATCACTGCATTATTTACTGCATCTGGAAAATTAAACGCCCCGTCTTCCACCAAAATTTATCAAAATCCGTAAAACAAAATTTCTCAACATAAATAACTTCATTAGTGACATACTAAATATTAATTGGGACAGACTTATTTTAATACCCTCTATAAATGAAGCCTGGGACTACTTTCACACAGAATTATTAAATGTCATCAATAAACATGCACCACTGACTGAAATCAGGGTTAAGGGAACCCATCTCCCCTGGGTAAATGGTGAGCTGCTCAGTCTTTACAGGAAAAGGGATAAGGCTTGGTCTAAATTCAATACTTCAAAGCTCGTCGCTGACTGGGAGGACTACAGACGGCTGCGCAACTCCTGTACCACTCAAACAAGAATTGCCAGATCCAATTACCATAAAAATTGTTTAACAAATAACTTCAATAACCCTAAAAAATTCTGGAAACACATCAACAATATATCCGGTAAATCGAATTCTGACTCCAACAATATTCTGATTAATGATGCACTCACAAATGATCCCACTACCATTGCCAATGCCTTTAATCATCATTTTTCTCATTTGCCTCATGTCCAATCTCCTCCTCACTCCTCCACTCCACCCAGTGCCGTTCCTTGTGGCAGCAGTTTCTCTTTTAGACCAGTGAGTCCAGCTGCAGTAGAATGCATACTAAACGGGCTGTCTCTGGGCAGTGCCGGTCCTGATGGCATAGAGACAAGGTACATTAAAATGGCCTCTCATGTTCTGTGCTTTCCTCTGGCAGATCTATTCAACCTTTCATTTAGCTCTTGTGAAGTTCCCTCTGCCTGGAAACGTGCAAAAGTCATCCCCCTTCACAAAGGTGGTGACATCAGTGACATGAACAACTATAGGCCCATCTCAATAATCAATAGCATTGTAAAAGTATATGAAAAAATAGTTTTTAATCAATTATCTGAACACATATCATCTAAAAATCTTCTATCTCCACTCCAATCTGGCTTCAGGAAACATTTTTCAACAACATCAAGTTTTCTAATGACATTTTTTCTGGTTTTGACAACTCTTTTTTTACTGGTGCTTTATTTATAGACTTATCAAAAGCCTTTGATATGGTTGACCATTATCTTCTTTTAGACAAACTTCACTGTATTGGTCTGGACAGATCCTCACTCCTCTGTTGACGGTGATGTAGATAGGAATTGAACCAATGTGTCTTTTACAATGGTAGCTACTCTGGTTTTTCTTTAATCGAGAGAGGTGTGCCACAAGGTTCGTCACTGGGTCCACTTCTTTTCTCCATTTTTATTAATGACCTTCCCCTTGCCTGTACAGACTGTAGCATTCAACTTTATGCAGATGATTCAGTGATTTACACATCCAATGATAACATCAGCAATATTCAACAATCTATCCAACATGACTTTAATTCTGTTCAACACTGGCTAAAATCTAACAAAT